CATGCCGCATAGCCAGATCGCCTAACATACAGTAAGTAGGCCGACTCATATTCTGTTAATCTGAAATACATTTTCTTTTCTTTAGACCTACCTAAAATAAATAATGGATTTATTGTTATGGTGTATATTAAATTGATTAATTAGACTTGTTAAAATGTAGATGTTCCAAAGGCATGCATCAGTGGCTTGTATGTGTGGAGGGCTGGAGATGCTAAACGTGTTTATGTTAATTGACACAAAATTACCATGAGACAGGCAGACTTTTGTATGACAATAACCGGCTGACAGAATTTCATGATCACCACAGGCCTAGCATCAAACCACCAACACAATGGCCAGTGAGTTAAAGCTCTAGGCTATGTATGTATGTACAGTGCATTCGGAAAGTATTCAGACCCCTTGATTTTTTTCAACATTTTGTTATGTTACAGCCCTATTCTAAAATGGATGAAATAGTTTTTTCCCCCTCATCAATCTACACACAACACCCCATAATGACAAAGCAGCTGCAGAAATGTTTTGGTACCCTTCCCCAGATCTGTGCCTCAAAACAATCCTGTCTCGGAGCTCTACGGACAATTCCTTCGACCTCATGGCTTGGTTTTTGCTCTGACATGCACTGTCAACTGTGGGACCTTATATAGACAGGTGTGTGCCTTTCCAAATCATGTCCAATCAATTGAATTTACCACAGGTGGACACCAATCAAGTTGTAGAAACATCTCAAGGATGATCAATGGAAACAACAGGATGCACCTGAGCTCAATTTCGAGTCTCATAGCAAAAGGTCTGAATACTTATGTAAATAAGGTATTTCTGTTTTTTATTTGTAATAAATGTGCAAACATTTCTAAAAAACTGTTTTCACTTTGTCATTATGGGGTATTGTGTGTAGATTGATGAGGATTTTTATTTATTTAATCCATTTTAGAATAAGGCTGTAACGTACCAAAATGTGGAAAAAGTCAAGGGGTCTGAATACTTTCCAAATGCACTGTATGTATGTATGTATGTATGTATGTACAGTACCAGTCAAAAGTTTGGACACACCTACTCATTTAAAAAAAAAATATATATATATATATATATATATATATATATATATATATATATATATATATATATATATATATATATATATATATATATAGTAGAATAATAGTGAAGACATCAAAACTATGAAATAACACATATGGAATCATGTAGTAACCAAAAAAGTGTTAAACAAATCAAAATATATTTTATATTTGAGATTCTTCAAATAGTCACCCTTTGCCTTGATGACAGCTTTGCACACTCTTGGCATTCTCTCAACCAGCTTCATGAGGTAGTCACCTGGAATTAATTTCAATTAACAGGTGTGCCTTCTTAAAAGTTAATTTGTGGAATTTCTTTCCTTCTTAATGCATTTGAGCCAATCAGTTGTGTCGTGACAAGGTAGGGAGGTATACAGAAGATAGCCCTATTTGGTAAAAGACCAAGTCCATATTATGGCAAGAACAGCTCAAATAAGCAAAGAGAAACGACAGTCCATCATTACTTTAAGACATGAAGGTCAGTCAATACGGAACATTTCAAGAACTTTGAAAGTGCAGTCGCAAAAACCATCAAGCGCTATGATGAAACCGCCACAGGAATGGAAGACCCAGAGTTACCTCTGCTGTAGAGGATAAGTTAATTAGCGTTACCAGCCTCAGAAATTGCAGCCCAAATAAATGCTTCACAGAGTTCAAGTAACAGACACATCTCAACATCAACTGTTCAGAGGGGACTGTGTGAATCAGGCCTTCATAGTCTAATTGCTGCTAAGAAACCACCACTAAAGGACACCAATAAGAAGAAGAGACCTGCTTGGGCCAAGAAACACGAGCAATGGACATTAGACCGGTGGACATTTGTCCTTTGGTCTGGAGTCCAAATTTGAGATTTTTGGTGTCTTTGTGAGACGCGGTGTGGGTGAACGGATGATCTCCGCATGTGTATTTCCCACCTTAAAGCATGGAGGAGGAGGTGTTATGGTGTGGGGGTGCTCTGCTGGTGACACTGTCAGTGATTTATTTAGAATTGAAGGCACACTTAACCAGCATGGCTACCACAGCATTCTACAGCGATACGCCATCCCATCTGGTTAGTGGGACTATCATTTGTTTTTCAACAGGACAATGACCCAACACACCTCCAGGCTGTGTAAGGGCTATTTGACCAAGAAGGAGAGTGATGGAGTGCTGCATCAGATGACCTGGCCTCCACAATCCCGACCTCAACCCAATTGAGATGGTTTGGGATGAGTCGGACCGCAGAGTGAAGGAAAAGCAGCCAACAAGTGCTCAGCATATGTGGGAATTCCAGGTGAAGCTGGTTGAGAAAATGTCAAGAGTGTGCAAAGCTGTCATCAAGGCAAAGGGTAGCTATTTGAATAATCTCAAATATAAAATATGATTTAACACTTTTTTGTTTACTACATGATTCCATATGTCTTCACTATTATTCTACAATGTAAAAAATTGTAAAAAATAAAGGAAAACCCTTGAATGAGTAGGTTTGTCCAAACTTTTGACTGGTAGTATATGTATGTATGTATGTATGTATGTATGTATGTATGTATGTATGTATGTATGTATGTATGTAGTATGTATGTATAATCCTGGCTGTTAATCTGCATGACAAGGGGGCATATTTAGTTGAAAGCAGGGCAGGGGTCGACCAGTGGACTGTACTCCTATAGGATTCTCTCTCCCTACACTACCTCCTTGGTATTACCCACATGATGTAGCTTTGCTTTGCCATACTCACAGAAGCTGTGGGAACAGACTACCCACATGGGCACTGATACAGGTGGTGGTTCTAGTCCCTGTTGCTGGTTAACTGGCCCTTTTCCAGAGCAGAAGCTGGGTGCTGTTGACTGGCAATCCTCCAGAGCAGAGGCTGGGTGCTGGGTGCTGGTTGACTGGCCCTCCTCCAGAGCAGAGGCTGGGTGCTGGTTGACTTGACCTCCTCCAGAGAAGAGGCTGGGTGCTGGTTGACTGGCCCTCCTCCAGAGCAGAGGCTGGGTGCTGGTTGACTGGGCCTCCTCCAGAGCAGAAGCTGGGTGCTGGTTGACTGGCCCTCCTCCAGAGCAGAGGCTGGGTGCTGGTTGACTGGCCCTCCTCCAGAGCAGAGGCTGGGTGCTGGGTGCTGGTTGACTGGCCCTCTTCCAGAGCAGAAGCTGGGTGCTGGTTGACTGGCCCTCCTCCAGAGCAGAGGCTGGGTGCTGGTTGACTGGCCCTCCTCCAGATCAGAGGCTGGGTGCTGGTTGACTGGCCCTCCTCCAGAGCAGAGGCTGGGTGCTGGGTGCTGGTTGACTGGCCCTCTTCCAGAGCAGAAGCTGGGTGCTGGTTGACTGGCCCTCCTCCAGAGCAGAGGCTGGGTGCTGGTTGACTGGCCCTCCTCCAGAGCAGAGGCTGGGTGCTGGTTGACTGGCCCTCCTCCAGAGCAGAGGCTGGGTGCTGGGTGCTGGTTGACTGGCCCTCCTCCAGAGCAGAGGCTGGGTGCTGGTTGACTGGCCATCCTCCAGAGCAGAGGCTGGGTGCTGGTTGACTGGCCCTCCTCCAGAGCAGAGGCTGGGTGCTGGTTGACTGGCCCTCCTCCAGAGCAGAGGCTGGGTGCTGGTTGACTGGCCCTCCTCCAGAGCAGAGGCTGGGTGCTGGGTGCTGGTTGACTGGCCCTCTTCCAGAGCAGAAGCTGGGTGCTGATTGACTGGACCTCCTCCAGAGCAGAGGCTGGGTGCTGGTTGACTGGCCCTCCTCCAGAGCAGAGGCTGGGTGCTGGGGATCACTGTGAGTCACCATACTCCCCCAGGCCTGCTAGCACAGCACCCCATTCTCCTACCTACAGTACAGCCTCCACTCTGAATAATTGAACAGAGCAGAGGGGGTAGGGAGAGGCAAGATGGAGAGAGGATCATCTCCATTAACAGATGCCAGGAAATGGGTGCTGTGTGCGTGTGTGTGCATACAGTATGTGTGCACTGTGTGTGTGTAAAGCAGTAATGCTGATTGAGCGGGCATGATCAAAGAAGTGTGCTTCCTCGAAACCGCTGCCTCCCCCATGAGACATTTAATTTATGCATGTTGTGTACACTAACACTGCTCACTCATTTAGACCGACAGAAAACCCAGTCTGTCTGTCTGTCTATGGAATCTATCGAATCTATCTACAGTGTATCTATGGCTGGCTACAGTTAACCACCCTGCATTGTGGCTCAGGTAGGCCTCTAGAAGGAGACCCTGCAGAAGCGATGAGGCATAGAGACCTTTTCTAGGCTCATACAATGTCTTGACATTTCAACCTACAGGTCCAATTAAAATGTGTGCAGTGATAAAAATTGGAATACTTGGTATTCTTGAAAGCAGCATTTTCCAGGTATTTTTTGCATATTTCACAGTATGTGATGATGAATAAGCCTGTGGAAAAGATCAAGCTTGACGCACAAAATGTCTAAGTGATTCTGTTTTAGTCCTGGACTAGGTTTCCCAGAATTCCCAGTAGGTGGAGTCACAGATGTTGTGCTTATTCCCTCCTGATTCCAGGAATCTTTCAACCAGGATTTAGTGAGGTAGTGTGTGAGGGTAGTGTGTGAGGGTAGTGTGTACATTCCACAGCGGCAACACACTGTCTGTCTGTCTCCCTGCCAAGTCTGTCTGTCGGTTTGTCTGCAACTCTCTCTCTAATTCCAGGAAATGTTAGACATTGTAATATAGCTCAGCCCTGCGCCCAAGTATAGCCCTTTCCTCATATGTCATCATCTCTCATTCACTTTTATATCTGAGGCTGAGAGGAGATCTGGTCTGTCCCACGTATGGCTGATGATGCCACTGTTATTATTTCTGAATCTCAAGAGGCGAAGAAGCAATTCCAGTTTTACACCATGTCCGGCTTTTTGCAAGGCTTTCCGTTTTCCCATTTGCGCAGGATTAAAGATACTGAAAATCTTGTTTCTGCTGTTGACTGTGTGTGAAGCTATGTGTGAGGTGGTGTGTGTGGTAGAGGTGATGGGGGTGGGTATGGAGGGGGGGGGAGGGGCGTGAAGCAGTCACCTATTTGCATATTCTCTCCATCCCTCATTTCATAGGCAGATTACAATCCTCTATCAGAATGGATCAGTATTTATCAACAAATTTAAATATATGTGCGCATCCAAGTGTGCATTTGTGCGTCATTCATTGTGTGCCTCCTATCTCTGAATCCTCAGATATCACTATGTATGAATGAACTATGAATGGAGTTTCCTAACGGCTGTCCTCTCTCCTCTCCTCTCCAGGTGCCCCTGGCTGACCAACACGATCTCCCCCGCTGTGCCTCTCTACAATGGCGTCGTCTTCCTCTTTGTGCTGGCCAACTTCAGCATGGCTACCTTCATGGACCCTGGAGTCTTCCCCAGAGGTCAGTTTCCTTATTCTACTGAAAGTGTCTGTATGAGATGAATGGGTCTCTCTCTCTTTATGTCTGTCTGTCTGCATGTCTGTCTGTCTGCATGTCTGTCTGTCTGTCTGTCTGTCTGTCTGTCTGTCTGTCTGTCTGTCTGTCTGTCTGTCTGTCTGTCTGTCTGTCTGTCTGTCTGTCTGTCTGTCTGTCTGTCTGTCTGTCTGTCTGTCTCTCTCTCTCTCTCTCTCTCTCTCTCTCTCTCTCTCTCTCTCTCAGAGGGAAACACATATCCACTATAGTGAGATGCCTGTGGAACATGGATAATCCTACTGCTCCTGCCTCCACACACTGTATTTGTGTGGGGAGAAACAAATTGCAGTTAAATCCTTGCTCCTAGGAGAGGTATGGCCTTAGGGGCATTTTTCGTAGATCCTACCCTGTCAATACAATCCTCGTGAGCTGTCATCTTATTCCTCTCCCTTCAATTGGTGTAAATCTGTGAATGACGTATGTACAGTGAATGTGACTACCAGGTTCAAATATAATAATGTAAAGCCTTGAAATGTAAAGGCTTATATTGTGTATTGGATGATAAAGCCTCTCATTAGTTTGTCTGCTGAGGATTGTTTTGAAAAAGCAGACTGCAGGGGAGATGTTTACATTCAGTTTCTCAGTCGGTTACCTTTTAAATCTATTTGAAGAGTCTGAAAACTCATAACAACCGAGAAGTCTCTCAGTAGGATTGTGTGTGTGTGTGTGTGTGTGTGTGTGTGTGTGTGTGTTTTCAGAGTGTACTTGTTCAGAAGCCGCTCTCCCGAGTCCCATGATGATCAGCCTTCAGGTTGAATGGGCTCTTTGATGAACCGAAAGACATCACATTTTATTTCCTATCTCACTCCAGAGCAATACACTTCACATAGAAATAAAAAGATTGTAAAGTGGCCCATTGTGCAAAGATCTACAAAACCTCTGGAAATGTACTCGTTCAGAAAGACAGGGGCAGTGCAATGAACAGCGGTGTGGAGTTGATGTGATTTCTTTTTTTTGTCATCCAACTTGAATGCAGGCCCTCTGGGCTTTAACCATTACTGTGTGTTTACTACCTTGTTTCAGAGACTATTTGCAACTGAGAGACTATATGCACCCTAGAAATTATTTGACTACCCACACATCCAACCCTTACACACAAACTTACACACACACACACACACACACACACTCAGAACTCATACACACACACACTCAGAACTCATATACACACACACACACACAGTCAACGCTGCTGTTCTATTATATACTATTGATTCCACTGCCCACTTTATATTTGTAAATGCAGTCCATTATTACTATGCATACTACCTCTTCTATTTCTTCTACTACTTGTTATTCTTTGACTCTTTTCATTGTTATTATTGATGAATGTTCTGCTTTGTTGAAGGAGCTAGCACATAAGCATTTCACTGCACCTTTTATACCGGCTGTAAACTGTATATTTGACATACATTTAATTTTGATTTGATTTGATGCCAAATATGTGGGCTACAAAATGCATAGTGTTTTTATAAAATGTCAATTTGTACAGACAGCTAACCATGGGAGTTAGCTTAATTTAAGTCTACCTCCTGTTGCCCCTGTCAAATGGAATCGTAAATCAGATGTTTGTGTGTGTGTGTGTGCACGTGCGCACGTGTGTACTTGCCTGCTAACGTGTTCTCTCCCGTTGTGACAGCGGATGAGGACGAGGACAAGGATGATGATTTCCGGGCTCCTCTCTACAAGAATGTGGAGATCAAAGGAATTCAGGTCCGGATGAAATGGTGTGCCACCTGTCACTTCTACAGACCACCCCGCTGCTCTCACTGCAGCGTGTGTGACAACTGTGTGGAGGTAAGACAGACACACATATACACACACACACACACACACACACACACACACACACACACACACACACACACACACACACACACACACACAGACACTCACACACACACAGAGACACACACACAGAGACACACACAGACAGACAGATACACACAGACACACAGAGAGACACACACAGACACACATACATACACACACAGACACACACACAGACAGACACACACAGACAAACACACACACCACACGCTAGCCCATTTGTCAGCCGTTGACACTACAATGTGGTGTTAGCCTTGTTTCTATGTGTGACCTCTACAGCTGACTGATGGTATGTGTTCACAGACAAGACTTGTCAATCTACTGTCTGTGAACAATGTTATTCCTTATTGGATTGCAATCATGTTTTACACCACATCCAAGCAACATTCAGTAAAACAGAAGATTGGTTTCATAACTTTTTGTTTTTCCCATTTGAAGCCCTACTCTCCAGCTGTGTTCCTGTACAGTCTGTCTCTCCATGAAAGAGTTCAAATCTGACTTTGAACTGAAGGTTGTGAGGCAGCCTCCTATATTTCAGACAAACTACTCACACTGGTGCTGTGCTCTTCAGTAGACGCTCAACCACAATCAAAAACAAAGTCAGCTAAAGTATGGTAGATGTTTGTAAAAATTCCAGACCTCAGAAATCTGACTTATGCAATCAGAGATGATGGAATTGATTGAAACATCTCTGTCGAGTGTGTGAATACACTGAAGAGCTTTTATCATGTAGTATAGAGTTGTATGATCCTGTTATCTCCACTCTACCCTATGACCATCTCCTAACACCCATCCATCTCTCTCTGTCCCTCCCCAGGACCTTGACCAGCACTGCCCCTGGCTGAACAACTGCATCTCTCCACCATCCTGAACACCCATCTCTTTCTCTCTCCTCAGGACTTTGACCACCACTGCCCCTGGGTGAACAACTGTATCGGGCGTAGGAACTACCGTTACTTCTTCCTGTTCCTGCTGTCACTAAGCATCCACATGGTGGGCGTGTTCTCCTTCGGCATGCTGTTCGTGCTGCACCACATGGAGCGGCTGGGCACGCTGCACACCACCATCACGTATCCTTCCACATTGACGCCAGCTGGGTCTCGTTTCACCTTCTGTTGTATCAAAACTAGGGCCTTTTGTGTTATGTTCTGAAGGGCCTGGGGAAAAGTGTGTCTGAGCATTAAAATGGACCACCAGAAAGGACCCCCCTCATTTTCTATGGGTTGACAATCACATCCTTGCGGGTGGATTGTGATAATGATTGATTGTTGTATAGAGAAATTCCTCCTCTCTAAAATAGTTGTCTGAATGGCTCAGTGGCAGCCATACAGTCATTGGTGGCAGCGCTGGTTGGTTTGCAGCTGCTAAAATGGCTCCTAACAACATTGTGCTCTCCTTGACTACGTATGTCCAGTCTGGTGGTGATGTGTATAGCAGGGCTCTTCTTCATTCCAGTCATGGGCCTGACAGGCTTCCATATGGTCCTCGTCGCCAGAGGTCGCACCACTAACGAACAGGTGAGAAGGGGCCCACCTAAGAGCAGCTTACCCAGACACACACACACACACTCACAAACATACAGTACATTCTATCATGTATCATACAGGACACAATATCAGCATTGCAGCTTCACTTGCCAACTCAAATCTGCTAGCTAGTTCTAGCTGTGTGTGTGTGTGCGTGTGTGTTCTGGCCTTGCATCTCTTCTTCCTCCCACTCTAACAAAGCATTCTGTTCCTCAGGTGACAGGCAAGTTCCGTGGAGGAGTAAATCCCTTCACGCGGGGTTGCTGTGACAACATCAAGTATGTCCTGTGTGCTCCCCTGGCGCCCAGGTAAGCAGGACATGGTTTCCTACTGTAGGTCAGGGGGTGTGGGTGGTGGGAGCCGGACAGACGGGCATTAAAAAGTCAGCGGTAACGAAGACCGAGGGGGTTGCCACGGTACCCGTTCTGATGTAGTCATTCTGAGTAGACTGCTGAGATAGAACTGCAGCAATGTCCAAAGAGAGGTGTGTGTGTGCACGCATGCGTGCGTTTTCTACCTGGATGAAGCCACCCCCAGAGGAAGGCAGATGGCTGGGAGAACTGAATCACTTTGTAGAACAAAAGTTAAGGGGAAATCAAGTACAGCACAAACACACGTTCACACATTCAGGAGCCAGACCTCAGAGCCTGATTAAGGATAACTTTTGGGAGATATTACACTGCTAAAATTAACACTATAGATAGCCTCAGATAGACAATACCCAGGTGGGGACTGAAACGGTTTTATTAAAGTCATCATCCACCATTGAATTCGCCCCATACTCCCATATAGCCTGAGTCCTAGATATGTTTGTGCTGTCTTGCCAACTCCTATGTCATTGTCACTTGACAATAACACAGGAGTTGGCAAGACAGTACAAACAAATCTGGGACTCAGGCTAACTCTCATATGATGAGTCGTCTCTCCTCTCCTCTATATAGGTACAATGGTGTGGACCCAAGGAAGAAGCCCCCTGTCTCCATCAAGCCCCCCTTCATTAGACCAGACCTCTCTGACAAACAGATCAGCATCAAGGTCAGCGACAACGGGATCCACACCAGCATCCTCCGGTCTAAAGTAAGCTTCAGTACATTCAGTAGATACAATAGTCATATTTCTAGTCTTATTCCATGTCCTATCCCTGCTTTTATTCCCAGTTCTATTATCTATATTTCACCTAGACATCTTTCTAGTCCTCTTCAACTGTACTATTCCCAGCCAGTCCCTTTACCTAACCCTGTCCCCAGTCATAACCCTAGTCCTATCCCCGGTTCTGTTCTTCCACCTGCTGTTCTTTTTAAGACCACATTTAACCCCTCGTCATCTCCCCTGTCCAGTCCAAGATCAGTCTGGATGGTCTGACCCTGGATGACAAAGGCCTAGACACCCAGCCTCCACTACCCCCCAAAGCTGACCGCTACAACCAGCTGAAGAGCCAGCTGACGTCCAGCGAAGGTAATAATGGGCAATCTATGCAAAGTCATCACATTTCTCTGTCTCTCTCTCTCTCTCTCTCTCTCTCTCTCTCTCTCTCTCTGTGAATCAGTGATGCGCGGGTCAGCTGTTTGTTCACCCACACCTGCACGCAATCGCTAATAACCCGCACCCGCCCGAAGTTGGAATGGAACCCGGGTTTGGTTGTCTGCTGCAATAGCCCATCCGTGACAACGATCGACGAGTTGTGCGTTCCGAGATGCCGTTCTGCACACCACTGTTGTACTGCGGCGTTATTTGTCTGTTTTTGGCCCACCTGTTAGCTTGCATGATTCTTGCCATTGTCCTTCGACCTCTCTCATCAACGAGCAGTTTTTGCCCAACAGAACAGAAAGATGGTGCCGGAGGGGATGGCTGCTGTTTTACGGGCTCCAAACCAACTGTGCTAATTTGTTAGTTTTCTGGCGTTGTTTGTAACTTATTTTTTTACTTATTGTGTACATAATGTTGCTGCTACCATCTCTTATGACCGAAAATAACTTCTGGACATCAGAACAGCGATAACTCACCTCGAACTGGACAAATATTTTTTTTTTTATTAACAAGTCCGACGCGAAGGATATACTGCTTTCTCGAGAACGGGCCCAAATCCTCGTCATTTGCGTGAAGAAAAGACAGAGAAAAAGGGGGCGGAGGTCGGACTGCCTTCTGAGAATTCGTAGGCGAGTGAGTAAACCTCCACTACCATCCGTTCTATTGGCCAACGTGCAATCATTGGAAAACAAAATCGATGATCTACGATCAAGAATATCCTACCAACGGGACATTAAAAACGGTAATATCTTATGTTTCACTGAGTCGTGGCTGAACGACGACACGGATAATATAGAGCTGGCAGGATTTTTCATGCATCGGCAGGACAGAGACGCTACGTCTGGTAACGCGAGGGGCGGGTGTGTGTGTCTATTTGTCAATAACAGCTGGTGCGCGATGTCTAATATTAAAGAAGTCTCGAGGTATTGCTCGCCTGAGGTAGAGTACCTTATGATAAGCTGTAGACCACACTATCTACCAAGAGAGTTCTCATCTATATTATTCGTAGCCGTCTATTTACCACCACAAACCGATGCTGGCACTAAGACCGCACTCAACGAGCTGTATAATGCCATAAACAAACAAGAAAATGCTCATCCAGAAGCGCCGCTCCTAGTGGCCGGGGACTTTAATGCAGGCAAATATAAATCTGTTTGACCTTATTTCTACCAGCATGTCAGATGACGCGGATGCTACTCTACAGGACTGTTTTGCTAGCACAGACTGGAATATGTTCCGGGATTCATCCAATGGCATTGAGGAGTATATCACCTCAGTCATAGGCTTCATCAATAAGTGCATCGACGACGTCGTCCCCACAGTGACCGTACGTACATATCCCAACCAGAAGCCATGGATTATAGGCAACATCTGCATCGAGCTAAAGCCTAGAGCTGCCGCTTTCAAGGAGCGGGACACTAATCCGGACGCTTAAAATAAATCCTGCTACGCCCTCAGACGAACCATCAAACAGGCAAAGCGTCAATACAGGAATAAGATTGAATCCTACTACACCGGCTCTGACGCTCGTCGGATGTGGCAGGGCTTGAAAACTATTACGGACTACAAAGGGAAACCCAGCCGCGAGCTGCCCAGTGACGCGAGCCTACCAGACGAGCTAAATGCCTTTTATGCTCGCTTCGAGGTAAGCAACACTGAAGCATGCATGAGAGCACCGGCTGTTCCGGACGACTGTGTGATAACGCTCTCGGTAGCCGATGTGAGCAAGACCTTTAAACAGGTCAACATTCACAAAGCCGCGGGGCCAGACGGATTACCAGGACGGGTACTCAAAGCATGCGCAGACCAACTGGCAAGTGTCTTCACTGACATTTTCAACCTCTCCCTGACCGAGTCTGTAATACCTACATGCTTCAAGCAGAAAAACATAGTCCCTGTGCCCAAGGAAGCGAAGGTAACCTGCCTAAATGATTACCGCCCCGTAGCACTCACGTCGGTAGCCATGAAGTGTTTTGATGCTGGTTTTAAGGCTGATCATGGCTCACATCAACAGCACCATCCCGGATACCCTAGACCCACTCCAATTTGCATAATGCCCCAACAGATCCACAGATGACGCAATCTCAATCACACTCCACACTGCCCTTTCCCACCTGGACAAAAGGAACACCTATATGAGAATGCTGTTCATTGTGCCCACAAAGCTATTCACTAAGCTAAGGACCCTGGGACTAAACACCTCCCTCTTAACTGGATCCTGGACTTCCTGACGGGCCGCCCCCAGGTGGTAAGGGTAGGCAACAACCGTCTGCCACGCTGAACCTCAACACTGGGGCCGCTCAGGGGTGCATGCTTAGTCCCCTCCTGTACTCCCTGTTCACCTACGACTGCATGGCTAAACACGACTCCAACACCATCAGTAAGTTTGCTGACGACACAACAGTGGTAGGCCTGATCACCGACAACGATGAGACAGTCTATAGGGAGGAGGTCAGAGACACTGCCAGGACAACAACCTCTCCCTCAATGTGAGCAAGACAAAGGAGCTGATCGTGGACTACAGGAAAAGGCGGGCCGAACAGGCCCCCATTAACATCGACGGGGCTGTAGTGGAGTGGGTCGAGAGTTTCAAGTTCCTTGGTTTCAGTTCGAGGGGTTCGAGATTTCAGTTCGGCTTGGATGCATATTTTATGTGGTTGAAATACTATCCGTTTGGGGTCTCCCGAGTGGCACAGCGGTCTAAGGCACTGCATCGCAGTGCTTGAGGCATCACTACAGGCCCGGGTTCGATCCCGGGCTGTGTCACAACCCATAGGGTGGCGCACAATTGGCCCAGCATCATCCGGGTTAAGGGAGGGTTTTGCCGGGGGGGGGCTTTACTTGGCTCATCGCGCTCTAGCGACTCCTTGTGGCTGGCCGGGCGCCTGCAGTCTGACCCCGGTTGTCAGTTGAACTGTGTTTCCTCACACACTTTGGTGTGGCTGGTTTCCGGGTTGGGCGGGTGTTAAAAAGAGCGGTTTGGCAGGTCATGTTTCGGAGGACGCATGAATCAACCTTTGCCTCTCCTAAGCCCGTTGGGGAGTTGCAGCGATGAGACAAGATCGTAATTGGATTGAAAAAGGGAGAGAATAAAAAGAATAATAAATAAATAAAATACTATAGCACCTTTACAGACGATCCCTAGCCGTGCATTCATTCTCTCAAGATGCTGAAAGAAATCAATCATATTTCTCTACTCCTGTTCCTGAGTCAAAATGTACATTTGGTGTATCATTTTACTGCAAGAAATGCTTAATTCTGCAGGAGTTAGTATTATATTAGGCTATGCGAGAGGTTACAGTGCCTTCAGAAAGTATTCATACCCCTTGACTTATTCCACATTTTGTTTTGTAACAGCCTGAATTTTAAATGGATTAAATCGATTTTTTCTCTCACCCATCTACACACAATAATGACAAAATGAAAACATGTTTTTAGAAATTTTAGCACATTTATTGAAAATGAAATATAGAAATATCTCATTTACATAACCATTCATACCCCTTTGCAATGACGCTCCAAATTGAGCTCAGGTGCATCCAATTTCCTTTGATAATACTTGTTATGTCACTACAACTTGATTGGAGTCCACCTGTGGCCAATTCAATTGTTTGGACAGGATTTAGAAAGAAATACACCTGTCTATATAAGGTCCCACAGTTGACAGTGCATGTCAGAGCAAACTATACCATGAAGTCCAAGGATCTGCCCGTAGATCTCCGAGATAGAATTGTGATGAGGCATACACTACCGTTCAAAACAGGTCCTCAACTGGCAGCTTCATTAAATAGTACCCGCAAAACACCAGTCTCAATGTCAACAGTGAAGAGGCGACTCCGGGATGCTGACCATCTAGGCAGAGTTGCAAAGAAAAAGCCATATCTCAGACTGTCCATCTAAATCTTTTATTTTTATTGCCAAGTCTGAGATATGGCGTTTTCTTTGCAACTCTGCCTCAGGGAGGTGACCAAGAACCCAATGACCACTCTGACAGAACTACAGAGTTCCTTGACTGAGATGGGAGAACCTGCCTGAAGTCTCCACAGCACTTCACCAATCTGGGCTTTATGAGAGAGTGGCCAGACAGAAGCAACTCCTGAGAAAAAGGCACATGACAGCACACCTGGAGTTTGCAAAAAGGCACATGAAAGACTCGGAGAGCATAAGGCAAAATATTCTGTGGTCTGATGAGACATAAATTGAACTCTTTAGGCTGAATGCAAAGCGCTATGTCTGGAGAAAAACCAGGCACAGCTCATTACCCATCAACACCATCCCTACCGTGAAGCATGGTGGTGGCAGCATCATACTATGGGGATGGTTTTGAGCAGCAGGGACTGGGAGACTGGTAAGGATAGAGGGAACAATGAATGGAGCCAAATACAGCCAAATCCTTGATGAGAACCTGCTTCAGAGTGCGAACGATGTTAAACTGGGGCAAAGATTTACAATCCAACAGGACAATGACCCCAAGCATACAGCCAAAACAACGCTGGAATGGCTTCAGAACAACATGAAAGTCCTTGAGTGGCCCAGCCAAAGCCCAGACTTGAATCCCATTGAAAATCTGTAGAAAGATGAAGATTGCTGTTCACCACTGCTCCCCATCTAACTTAACAGAGCTTGAGAAAATCTGCAAGGAAGAATGGGAGAAAATCCCCAAATCCAGATGTGCAAAGCTGATACAGATGATTCAAAGCTGTCATCGCCGCTAAATGTGCTTCTACAAAATATTGACTCAGGGGTGTGAATTATTATGTAAATTAGATATTTCTGTATTTCATTTTCAGTAAATTAGCAAACATTTCTATAAACATGTTTTCACTTTCTCATTATTGGGTATTGTGTGTAGATTGGTGAGAAATCTATTTAATCCATTTTGAAGTCAGGCTGTAACGCAACATAATGTGGAATAAGTCAGGGGGTATCAATACTTTCTGAAGGCACTGTATAAACCTACAGTCAGTGCCCAGATTTCAGTTACTATTCCATTTAACCCATCTAAACAGCAGACTACAGATCCCTTGACGTGCCATATTTGAAGTCCCAGTCTTGTGACTTTCAAAGTTGTATAGCGCCTCAATCATCACACATAACATCACACTCCCAACTGCTATCAACCTCTTTTACCAAATTTACAAAATCTTTCCCAAACATTTCTGTTCTGGCCTTCCCTTTTCTTTATTTTCAACTCCCTATTTCGTAGCTTTTCTCTTATTGAATTAAGCTATGACATTGTCCTTTTTGCCTCAGTGGATCAACGTTTTCTGCCCAAGTTCCCGATAGCATTTGGCGCACGTACAGTAAGGCCCTAAAGCTTTGGCTTACGCTCTAATTAAGCAATAAGGCCCGAGGAGGTGTGGTATATGGCCTATATACCACAGCTAAGGGCTGTTCTTATGCACGAGTGCCTGGATACCGCCCTGAGCCGTGGTATATTGGCCATATATCACAAACCCCAGAGGTGCCTTATTGCTATTATAAACTGGTTACCAACGTAATTAGAGCAGTGAAAATAAATGTTTTGTTATACCAATGGTATACGGTCTGATATACCATGGCTGTCAGCATTCAGGGCTCGAACCACCCAGTTTATAATGGCAGATAAAAAATAATGAAAGAGAAACCTCAGTGTAGCCTATAGATATGAATTGCACAATAATGCATTGTTTTCTCTTTATTCAACCTGCCCGCCACCCACCCGCTCTTCATCCACACAATATTTCATGACCCTAAACCCGCACACCCCGCGGATATAACCGCGGGACTGCAGGTTATGAGTCAACCCGCAAATCACTAGTGTGTATCTCTCTCCCTCGTTCTCACTCTCCCTGTGTTTCTCTCTCTGTCTCTTTTTGTTTCTTTCTCTCTCTGGTGTATTGCCCCAAACTGCTCTCTCTGGCCCCCTAAAAGCGCTCCATCTCAGTGCTAGTTAGTGACTTATAGCTAGTTGGGCTTGATGAATGAACTCCAGCATGGCAGGCCTCTATGGCTCTTCATCAGCGAGTAGAAATTAAGTGTAATTTGTCATGAATGGGCCTGGTTCAGTCAATCTGCTCCAGATTTGTTATAGACTGGATGTGGGTATGCAGACCCGCAAGCCACTGCGGCCCCTCGTGATGAGTTCTGATTTTTTGTGGCGCCCACCCCCATCAAAGTTGCCCATTCCTGATCTATAGTGTCATGGGTGCATTATGTCTGGAGCTCCTTCCTGACAGTTATTTCAATCACTGTAGCTCTACTGCCACTTGGTGGTGTTGTATGTTACTGCATTATTTGCAATGACAAAATCACTGCATCACAACAAGATTTACCTAACAACATTGCTAGGACATGTCCAGTGTCTGTTGTACCGAAAAAGTCAAAGCAAGGATTTCCATGCAAGGACGATTCCTTGTGATTTTTGTCTGTATATGTTAGTTTCTGAATGTCTATTCTTTCCTCCATTTGCCTTTCTGTTTTAGCTTGAGATGGCTTTCACAACATAATGAGATATGAAAGGCTCTGATGATGACAACACTATCAATTCTAACACACCATAAAATGGATGCTTACATCCTTACACCAGATAATAGTCTGTCTCTCACAGTAACATTGTCTTTTCTGTCTTCCCCTTCCAGATAGTTCCCTGTCCGGCAAGACCCATCCCTCCTCCCCGGCCATGTACAAGTACCGGCCCTCGTTCGGCACCATCCCTAAAGTCCATTACCACGCGGCAGGGGAGAAGGTCAGACTAAATGACTGAATTGTAATAGTAATTGCAAACAGGCTTACCCAATACTTTTGCTGTATTCCTGCACAGTTGCGAGGGTGACTGCATATAAATTAACAGCTCTTTCAATTTTTTATAAAAATGTTTTCATTATAGTATGGCTAGTCAAAATAATAGTCCATATTCCTCACTACTTCTGTGTTGTTTTGTGTTGTCAGATTGTAATGCCTGATGACCACTGTAAGGCGTCAGCCATCTTGGAGGAGGGCCGTTGCCATGTCGACTACCGCTCAGAGCCCAACCTGGACCTGCCTGACTACCGCAACGCCCCTCTCCACCGATCCTTCCAGTCCTCCCCACTGCAGCTGGACTCCTACCCCATCACCTCCAGCTCCCTCAGCCTGAAGCATGCCTACCAGCGCAGGGACAAGGGCCAGCTGCCTGTCCTGCAGCCTGAGACAGTCACCGCCACCCCCTACAAGAGCGTCTTCTCCCCACTGTCCAACCGCAACAGCAGCCTCTCCTACGACAGCCTGCTCAACCCCAGCATTTCCCCAGCCACCGCAGCCGAGTGCATAGCCCACCCCGGCATGCCCTCTATGGGCTCACACTCACCCTTCCTGCCAACCAAAATGTGCCACGTGCGGGGGCCTGAACCTCAGATCCAGAGGCAGCAGGTCCCCCCCAGCTTCAGCCCGGTGTTGGGCTCCAGGGGGATGGGGTTGAGCAGGGGCAGGCAGTCCCCCCAGGACCGGGACCTGTCCCCGGTGCGCTACGACAACCTCTCCAAAACCATCATGGCCTCCATCCAGGAGCGTAAAGAGATGGAGGAGAGGGAGAAGCTGCAGCTGCTGCACCACGGGGGGCGCTCCCAGGCTCAGTCCTATGCCCAGGCTCAGGCCTATGCCCAGGCTCAGGACATGTTCGACAGCTCTGGAGGGTACGGCCTGCCTCCCAGCGCCTGCTACCCCGACGGTCCCCGGGGCCCCAGCTCCAGAGGCCCCACGCCCCCAGCCTACGGAGGTTCCAGGGACAACCTGATGGGGGTGGGGGTGGTGAGCTATGGGCCTCGGACCCCCGTGCTGCGCTCCTCTGGTGGCTCCTCTCTGGTACGTGCCCCCAGGACTTCCTCCAGCTCCCTGCACACTGACAGCAGCATGCAGGGAGGCAGGGCCCCTGAGCCCCTCTGCCGCTCCCCGGCCCAACAGCCCCACCACTCCCCCGCCATGCCTCGATCCCCCTCCTACACCCACAAGAAACTCTCCTTCATCCACGCCCTGGAGAGGACAGACTCACCCCGCCTGGGTGGCCCAAGGTACGAATCCTAACATACCCCTAACGTCTCCTGGGGTGCATGAAATGAGCTGAGGGGCTGGGTAGGGGAGCAGAACTCACTCCCCACAGGAAGCCCTGAAGCTCTGATGCCCTGCTGGCTGACTGGGTAGAAACCAGCGGTGGATGGGCTCTAGTCCCCCACACAGGATGAGTAGTGAGCCTCGGAGAGCTAAGGCTAGGTGTTAACATGTAGCATCTGTATACATACAGTTTCCTTCAGATATTATACCCTTTTATCCTAATTAAGTACTGTGCATGATATATGTCACTGGATTTTATTGTTTTGCCTTCATAGGAAGTATTTTTCTAAGTTGTCTGTCATGATGAATAAAGTTGCATTACCCCACCATAATTTCCTTCTGTTTGCATGCTTTTCTCCCTCCTGTCACTCTCTTCCATCTGGGAAGGGAACATTAACATCTACATCTCTCTATGCATGTTTTTAGCACCTACAGAAAATCCATACAAACCTACATTATCACTAACAACAAACTATGGTTTTACCCCTTATTTCACCAAATGTAATTCAGATTTTTGGGTCATGAATACACCAGTCATGGTAATTTATGCTAGCACCAGCAGGTACACTGGCATGTGTTTCATTACTCCTCTAACTAGTGTCATGGTCATTTCCATACTGCATGCTCCTGGGACCAGCCACACAACACCAACTACTAACACCACCAGAACATGCATGCGAGAACAATACGCAGATTTTCTGGTGTGACAACGGAATTACCTTTCCATGTAATCTGTGTTTATACTGCATGTGCATGTATGTAGATGGAGGGAGAGATTATATCTAAAGCTAAGTTAGTTCTCACTTCAAATAACTATGCCCTCTCTTGTTTTTTTCTCCCCATTCAGAGAGGCCATGATGCAAAGTAAAGTGAATGGGCAAACGGACTGCCATCTAGGGCCCAACAGCTCCAGTGCCCAGGGCACCACTCTCAGCCCTAGCCGCCACAGTAATGTCAAAAAGGTGACCGGGGTGGGTGGCACCACCTATGAGATATCTGTGTGAAAGGGCTGGGGCCCGGGGCGCCAAATCTTGAGGGAGGAGGCAGCATTCTCATGGCATCCACATCCAATGACAACAACAACCGTGCTACACAGAGAGGATTCTCTTCGACCTTTGACCTTTTTTTATTAGATTTTGACCAATCAGGGGCACATAGCATTTCCTACTTGGGAATTATTGGCCAATCAGAGGACCTCTGCTCTTTCCGGGCCTAGCCCTTGGTCTCTATGTGTCTGTACTAGACGAGTGGGCTGTAATAAGTGTGTGTTTGATGGGAAAGGAGAAACTTCAACCTAAAGAGGGCTGAGGTTTGTACTGAGTGTGTTGTTGAATTTTGTGGCTTGTTGCGTTGGTCATCAGTGGACAGTCTGAATAAGATCTTAAATGTGTTGTTTACAGCGTCTCTCAGTTGCGGTCTAGGTGCTGTTCTGTTTGATCACACTCACTAACCACCCACCCAGGCCACGAGAAGTTAACACCCAGACACCCAAACACATACAGATGATGCCACATGTCTTTGTTCAGACACATTCTCTGAAATAGCAATGGTATGGCGAGCCACCTCCAACCCAAATAGTCAAGCATACAGCACCAATCCATTAGATTCAAGCATACAGCACCAATCCAATAGATTCAAGCATACAGCACCAATCCATTAGATTCAAGCATACAGCACCAATCCATCAGATTCAAGCATACAGCATCACTCCATTGGATTCAAGCATACAGCATCAATCCTTTTGGATTCAAGCATACAGCATCAATCCATTAGATTCAAGCATACAGCATCAATCCATTAGATTCAAGCATACAGCATCACTCCATTGGATTCAAGCATACAGCATACCTCTTATGAATTCAAGGTGCTTCACATATCCTGTCCAACTGACCGTGTCTGTCTTGTCCATCAACAACATGTTGGCCATTACTGAGCAGCAAAGAGAGAAGATCACATCGCACCAGTCAGTGTTAGATCAATACAATCTAGAATGGATATCAAACTGTTAAATGGTGATACAACAGTGCTGTGTTGCACTCAGAGACACAGGTCTTGAATGTCTCCAACTCTACATTTATCCTCTATGAGTTTTGAGGAGGTGTTTTAGGGCTTACAGTACAGGAGCATATTCATCTCAACTCTAGCTGAGCTCCAGTATTTATTTCCCTTCATAAACTGTGTGGTTCGAGCCCTGAATGCTGATTGGCTGAAAGTCGTGGTATATCAGACCGTATACCACAGGTATGAAAAAACATTTATTTTTACTGTTCTAGTTACGTTTATAACCAGTTTATAATTGCAATAAGACACCTTGAGGGTTTGTGGTACATGGCCATTATACCACGGCTAATGGCTGTATCCAGGCACTCCGCATTGCGTCGTGCATATGAACAGCCCTTAGCCGTGGTATATTGGCCATATACCACACCCCCTCGTGCCTTATTGCTTAAGTATACCATAAGCTACAGTTATCAGTAACATAGTCCAACATCCTATCTATTGATTTCAATGTTATGTTAGAGTGACCTGCCGTAACAGACCAGTGCTAAGAAGATACACAAAAGCCTCTGCTACTGAGTGTTACAGAGGTGGCTGTTATCTGTGATCCATCCTGAATACCTCAACAAAACGGTCCTCACCATATTCAGTACAACTCCCACCAGCTAGCCAGTCAGCCATGCACAGCCAAAACATCTGATAGGCAATTTATTACTTTTGTGACTTAGTATTTTTTGTAAAATAGGTCTACCCATAATAAGTTATGTTAAAGCCATGTATAATTGTGTTTTGTTATGATTCATATCAAGAGTGGAAAAACCTTGAAAATCAATGAGGTCTTCCGCTGTGTTACAACATGAAAACCTGTCACTCATTTTTATTTAGTAGTTTTTTTTATTGATTTGTTTTTTTTATACCCAACCTTTCGAAAATGTTTGATACATCTTGCTTTTTATACAGATACTCAAGCTTGGAATGGATGTTTGGATTTTGAGTGGATTTTTTTGGATAATTTTAACCTAAGTGAATTAATTATTAAGTACCATAACCCATACAGGGAAGGGGGTATACTAGTTTGTTGTATTTTGCAGTGTAAAAGACGTTATTGATGAAGCAATGTAAAGTCAAACAAAGCAGATGTCATTAAAAAAAAGTTAGGTTAAAAAGTGCCAAAGGTGGCTCTTACCCTGATTCTGTTAAAGCTCTGGGTGCTCCTGACATCCATCTACTTTCAGCAGCTGTCTGGCACAGCAAACTAATGCAATTACAAGACATGAGGAAAGTCATAGATAAAACTATGGGACAGTTTTTTTTTTTTTGTGCACTAATGAAAAGAAGATATAGTTTGATAGGTACATACATCTATTATTTTTGTTCCTTAAAAAAAACACTGATTAAATGTAGCATGAAAGTTTCCCTCTGTTTTGTATCTTTATTTTCTTGTTTGTAAAAGGCTCAGAACATTTGAGGTGAGAAATGTCACCTGGTCATTTGCACGTTGTTAGTGTTGATGACAGAATTTACATGGATGTAAATGACTCTTTGTTTGCAGCTACACACCGCACCCATTAAATTACCATTGTGGCCTTTCAAGAGGTCAATGATGTTTACTGCACAAAGAAATCTAATAGAATATGACCGGTAGCCAGGTTGCACTGTGGGACAACCACCTATGAAATGCCACCAATAATTCTAAACATGCTTATGGCTGAATGGTCCCACTTATGGATGGTAGACAAATTTTTAAGAAATTATTTTACCTATTCATTGAGATACTCACTTTACCTGAAAGTACCATAATTGTAGATATCGTGTAATAGATGTATATATTGGTATGTGACCCTCACATTGGAGAGAGTACAGAAGAGAATACCCCTTGCCATGTAATGTTCTTTTAGCCTCTTATTTGTGGCACATACCATTCCAGTTCTCCATCTTTTCATATTACTGGTTCAATTGCAGACCATAAGCTTCAAATATGATGATACAAATTGATAACAACTGGTCCAACCCCATAGCAGACCCTAATTGTATTATATTAAACGTGGCTTGTTAGGTTAATATGCCATACTATTTTCAGTTGAATACAGTATTGGGTGGTCACTTGTCTCATAATAGTTTTAATTTAATATTGAGATGATCACCTGTTTTGTGGGAATTAAAATATTTAACTCCAATTCACCTGTGGTCCTTACAGGTGACCGACCCAACATTGTTGATACATATTTGAACCTTCCCCTTCAAGCACAGAAGCACATATGACAAAAGTGATTGTTGTTATTCTTCCTTTAGATTTATTTTTGCTGTGCTTTGCTGTCTGATGGATATTTCACCAAGAGCTTGATTCAATCCTTAACACTGAAGTTTGATTCGAGTCCCAAGTCACCTCACCTGAACAATATGAACTATTGCAGAATACCTGTTGCTGTATGTCTTGCTTATCATAATCAGATGTAGTATTTTGTAACATTTGTCATATGAATGGGGAAAAAAGATATAGAAAGTATATTGGAAAAACTGTTAATATACATGCTTTATTATTTTTGTTGAAAGGAAATATTTGCCACTTGATGACAGATTTAGAATTAAAAAATGTTTGTCAAGCCTATGGATTCACTAGATTGATGTTGATTCATTTCAGGGACACAGATCAAAATGTTTGTATTTGTTCAATGAGATTTCAGTTCTTTTTAACGTCCTCCGAAACAGCACCATCTGGTGGAATGTATTAGAATATGTATTAGAATATATCTTACTGGATAATTTGTGTATAAACATTTTATTCCAGACCATCTTGCAAGGCAGACAGCATTGACTTTCCATACCGAACTGACTCTAATGCGCTTAGGAATTCCTCACTAGGGCTGGCACAATTACCGTATAACCGCGTAACCGACGGCTATGGATGAAGACCGTCATGATAATAAAATAACTGTCATAGCTGTTTAAAAAATGGTGTGGAATAAACAGCTGACTGAAGACGGGACAGCCGGCTATTCGTACGGTTGAGTCCGTTTCTGCTGTAACATGGACTCTACAACGTGACAACTTTGTTGCTCTTTGCTGAAACAAGCAAGGTGTTGTAGCAAACGAGTCTTCGGTTGCCTAGGCAACACCCCCTCCCTATAGCAGCAGCACATGCAGTCAGGTGTGGAGGATAGGAGAAAATGTGCATATTTTACTAAAAATACAAAAAAATGTTATTCTGGTGACCACGGTCATTTGGCTGACCAATAACCGTCATCCAAAAATCCATCACCGTCAAAGCCCTATTCCTCACTCCACATAAAATAGCAAAGACAGACAAAAAGGTATTTGAGAGCTTTTATTGGAAGGTGGAGGAAACATCTTAAACCATTTGAGTGCAAATGAAAAGCAACATTCCATCCATGCACATGTATTTACAGATGCACTGGCACTTCGATGCAGGGTCAACTCACAGTTAGTGGGGACAGGTTAGGACGGTGAGCACACCTGATACTGCATCAATACACTCTTCCACTATATATTTTCTACATGCTTTAGTTTCAGTTTTGAGGGAATGCATTATGACCTAAAAACAAACTTGAGCCACCGAGAAGGGGACCCAAGCCAGAACGTACTGTAGCCTACACTTAAGTCTGATAAATCGTTGTCATTAATTTTGATTTGGTGTGATCAGTCTTCAACAACAACAAAATGAAACGAAATCAAAAACACTTTTCTGATTTGCTGAATTAAGTGAATGAGATCATCTGCAGTAGCACCTCTGAGCGAGCAGCGGACTACAGTTCCCAGAGTACACCTGATTTTACCAAGCTACGGCTGCATCTCAATGGTCCAAAGTGTCTTCCTCTACTAATTTCCTCCCATTCACCTGAACCAGGGATGGGCAACTCCAGTCCTCAGGGGCCAGAGTTGTCACACTTTTTCCCCATCCGTAGCAAACACAGCTGATTAAACGAATTGCATTCTAAACTGAAGATCATGACTAGTTGATTATTGGAGTCAGGTGTGTTAGCTGGGCAAAAGTGTGACACCAATCAGTCTCCCGACTAGAGTTGCCAATCCCTGAACAAAGTCAACAGGTGAACGCAAATTCCTGCCTGGTAAGCATCCACCACATTGCTTTCCCTTTGCCTGTATTAAGATCTGTAAAGACGAAGGAGAGGATACAAAGAGAGGATGCCTCCATATTGAGATTCGTGCCAAGACATGACCGCTCCTCACTGCCCGTTTTCCATACTTGTGGTGCTAACAAGCGGTCCTCTTCCCTATAAGCTAACCTTTCTTCTGAATAACAAAAGACTTACCCAATGTGGGAATTACCAATATCACAAGCCTCATTTCACAGTATGCCAAGTTGACACTGATACCCCTTTCATATACAAAGACCCCATTAATGTACCACAACTGCTTATTTTTACCTGCTTTTTGGTATATCTGAAAGGGGTAGGGGTAAAAAATATGGCAAATGAAAAGCCACCTAAAGACCTGGTCATGATTCCTGCATTTTCACAGTCCCTATAACCCAGCATTTCCCAAACTCGGTCCTCCAGACCCCAAGGGCACACATTTTGGTGTTTGCCCCTAACACTACACAGCTGATTCAAAGCTTGATGATTAGTTGAGTTGAATCAGCTTTGTAGTGCTAGGACAAAAACGTGCACCCCTTAGAATTTGGGAAACCCTGCTGTAACCAAAATACAGGTATCGGATCTGTGTGAATGAGAGTAGGTGTGTTTTGCACCAGGTGAAAGCCAGCTCAAAACAAAAGTGACGTAATTAAGCACATGGCGTAATGAGTAGGATTATGTTTTCACATGCAAATGTGATTAGTTACCTGCCTTCCCAATTAAATCTAGTTAGAAAATTCTAACATTATGGAAAAATAAACGTTTCTGGACGATACACCATGCTTCCTTGTTGACAACATCACAGATTACTGTTATATTTGAGAAGGGCGCTTCTCCCTCACCGCTTTTGCCCATTCACGTCACGGGCCATAGACTGGTGCCCCCCAGCCAAGCATAATCGAATCCACCCAGTGGTGCTCTGCTTTTTTGCAGGTAAATACAATAACACTTCCATTGTTTAATACCTCCCTAATTTGAAATGCAAACAGCCCACATGGATTAACACCCCCCACCCGTTTCAATTTGAAAGTGGTAAATAAAGGGGCAGTTTGAAAGGGGTTCATATAAAACATGAGCCTTATATGTATATATTTTTTTACAGGTAATACACCACATCTGTCTGAAATGAGTATGAGTGACAGATGAGCAGAACAGACAACTTTTTTTCCATGATGGAAAAAGGACAGGGCGGGTGGGGAGGGGCACATTTTAATGAATGGATAATATTTTTGCGGCACCAAGGTCTTGTGATCTCTCGAGGTAAACAAATCGTTTAAAAAAACTAAATAAATCAATATGCAAGTGTCCAAATTCAGTTTCTTTAGAGTCTATTGTAGAAAAAGAGGAAAATGACAAGTTGAAGATCAGTAAAGCAAGTTCTTGGTTTCATTTCTTCTCTTCTGCTGCCGCTTTCTCCTTTTTCTCCTCCCTCTTATCCTCTGTCTTGGTCTTGTCGTCTTTTACAGATAGTTCCTCCAGTTTCTCTGCCACTTTGTTTGCACTGTCAGTGTTTTCTCCTGCAGAGAACAGAAAGATGATATTAACTATTTGTAAGTCTGGTGTGTCATGGTGGCCCGATGACGGAGCAAACACGTTGGCCAAGACAGGCTCCACACTACAACAACAGGGTTGATGGGAACAGTCTTCTTCATGTAAGAGCTTGTTTTGGGGCATTGGGGATGCCTGCCATTTGAATGACAGAGTATTCCATCTTGAGTGTTTCACAAGTATTTTTGTTCCACTGATACATTCGGTTATCTAAACTGGGTAGTGATTAACATGTTCAGAAGGTCACAATGGCTGTTTTTTGTAATTAACACTGCAGCGACAACAATTCTAAGTGTGAACATACTAACACTAGCCTAATAGTAAGCCAGTGAGTTGTTGCATTCTACATGTTAATTTAGCAGACATAAAAAGTTCCAGGTTGGAGTGAGCGGCAGAGAACAGAATTGTCTGCATACTGGCTATGAAAAATAATGTGATAAAAAATAATTGTACACCAACCTGATCCGTCTTGAGATTTTTGGACTTCCTCCTTGCATTCATCGAACTTCACCTTAAATTTCTGAGCATCTGAAAAGGACAAAAGTTATTTTAAACCCCATCCACACATTTTGACAGATCACACTTTTAGCATGGGAAGCCGACTGAATTGTAAAAAGCTAATGCAGTGACTGAAATAGATGTTGTCACACTCACTTTCTGCATTGAGGAAACGGATTGCCAGGAGTTCAGGTTTGGGATGCTCATCAGCGAAGTCGGCAAGTGTGTTCCATACCCATGCCCTGTCGCTGCCGGCGTTGGGCTTCAACTCCATCACAGGGAAAACTGAAAGAGCAGAAAGATTAAAAGGATTTAGGCCACTGACCCATAGAATCACAGTATGAAAATGTATGCACTCACTAAAACTGTAAGTCGCTCTGGATAAGAGCGTCTGCTAAATGACTAAAATGTAAATGTAAAATGTAATATCTATACAATTACTTGTTTTGCTTATATCTCACCATCATCTCATACTCAAAATGACAATTCAGTGGACAGGCAACATCAATGCATGGGTTAATGGACAGGTTTCTGTCCGACAAGACAGCACTGCGGTGATAAACGCTACTGCCTGAGACAGGAAGTGTTCAGTGACTCACTGTTGTGATTGGCACAGATCTTTAAGGTCCGGTCTCGCCTCATCAACAGGCGGATGGTGCCCTTCTCTTTGTGTTTCAGGAGCTTGACGTCGCCTGTGCCTCGCTCCTTCCACTCTGGTGGGTCGTTCTCAGAGGCAAAGCGGTAGAGCTTCGCCCGCCTGAGGGGAGAGACAATATGGGTAGAATGCTGAGGCTTTGGAGGGAATCAGTATCAATACCTGGGTGACAGAGGGCTGGATAGTTTCATAACACTTGAGACAAATCTTAACTTCTACTTAAGTTAACATTTCACTTAGTCTCCAATTGACAGTGCATGACTAAGGGAACTGTTTATGAATTTACCAATTTGAAGTTAGGATTCGGCCCTAAAAGAATGACACATTTTGTATTGTTCAATGAGTTAGGCTATTCAAAGCGAAATCTTTCAGCATCAGCTTACATTTTGAACAGTTCCTCCTCGTCCTCCTCTAGCGTCTTCACATCCTGCTCTGGAAGAGACACGATGGGCTCATAATGGGGATCGTGGTTTGATTCTTCTACATTGTCTGTTGAAGTCTCCTGCTCTTCTGGTGTTTCCTATTAAAAAAGTATTATTTGAAAACATGTTAAGGACAGCATTTAGAGTTCAAATTGATAAATTGAGAATAAAAATAATGGGCTTGTGGTTCCACGTGGATTGTCATGTCCTTTCAAGTTAGTGTAATGTACTTTACAAGTCCGTTTTTCAGACTGTAAAAACAGTAGGGTCCACCAACTGACTGCAGAGGGATGTGAATAGAGGGATTTGAGAGATCAGGCTTTGGAGGTTATCTTTTGTGTGCAATTTGCTGTGGCAACTAAACAGTGTCACTGGTGCGGAGCCAAGCACATTTGCTGCTGGATGACTTTACAAAAGGCCTTGCGAATCCATATAGTGTAGTCCCGTATAGCTCAGTTGGTAGAGCATGGCGTTTGCAACGCCAGGGTTGTGGGTTCGATTCCCACGGGGGGCCAGTCTGAAAATGTATACACTCACTAACTGTAAGTCGCTCTGGATAAGAGCGTCTGCTAAATGACTAAAATGTAAATATGATCTCACACTTACTACAGAACTTGTAATATGGCCTAGCATTACATAATCAGTGATAAAACTACTCAGACAAACACTCCTTACAGGAGGATGAAAGGAAGGTGAAGCAGATTGACAATAACGTTTCTGTTTCCTGGACAACTAACTTTAGCTAGTTAGTAACATAAGTAGTTACATGTGAGCTAGCCAAATTTGCAGTCAGCTACTAAAAAACTAATCTGACAAGAATATCAGCATGCCATCTAGCAAGCTACTGCCATAGGATATATTTACTAGCTGCATGAACCAAATGTATGAAAGGAGCGCGTGTTGCTCCATGCTTTCGAGTGTACTGTAATGGCTAGCTACAACTTAGCTAGCAACATGGATCCATACAAGACTATGGGATGTTGCTAGCTAAGTTGTAGCTAGACATCACAGTAGTACTCCAAAACGTGGAGCCAACGGGCCCATTTTATAAATTTGTTCAGGCAGCTAGTAAATAAATCCTACGGCAATACTGTAGCTTGCTAACAGTAGATGGCTTGCTGACATTCTTGTCAAGCTAGTTTTTTGGTAGCTGACTGCACATGTCTAGCTACCTCTTTCATGTACAAACAGTAACGTTAGCTACATACAGTACGTTACTAGTTACCTAAAGTTAGTTGTCCAGGTAACAGAAAAGTTACTTTTGTGATTGTCCACTTACTTAAAATCAACCGTTGTCTTTTTTTTTTTAGCGATAATTAAGTTATCTGCTTTATTATATAACTGTCATAACTTAGATAGCATGTCAATGTTTACATCATAGCTAGCTAGTTACTTAGCTAAATGGATAAACAATCACTGATAAAGTTGACGCTAGTTTCTTTCGGCCTGGAGTTAGCCAGCCAGCTAGCTTGCTAACGTTATCTAGGCCATTGCGAAAGCACCAGACCAGCTAGTAGTAGGTTAACGTTAGCTAACTAGAGATGAAACAAAGGTTTGGCTATTGTGTCACTGACACATAGCTAGGTAAATGCAATTACCCACTCTGTTAAATCAATGCAAACAAACAGTGTAAGCTCAGGACGCAATTAATAATAATAAAATAAATGTTATCTAGCTACTGTAGCTAATGTCTGAGGAACTGGCTTCTTGTTGCCAACTGACTGGCTAACAGTAACAATTACTGTACAGTACGAGTTACGTTCGACAACTCTTACCAAAGCCAAATACTGTCCAAGTGATATCGCAGGCAAATACATATGACGTTTAAATAATAATTGTGAAAGTAGTGGTGGCACGATTATATACTTGTTAGCTAGCTAATGCCTGGCTAGTTTGCTGTTGGCTAGCTAGTTAACGTTAGCTAGCTTTGGACCAGGTATAATGAAGGGCGGCAAAATATTAAGTTGCCCACTTTTGACACATACAAAGGCATAACTGATTTACCATTGTCTGGTAAATGTTGTTTTGAGGCCAATTTACACTTTTTTTATCCCCAATATTGATGTATAACAAGGTTGTTAAAAATCAGCATCCCTACCCGGCATTTTTATCTTCCCGGGTACAACCCTAGCAAGATAAACTTTGAGAATGCCAAGCAAAACATCACGATTGAAATAAAATGTACATTTAATTAAATGCACGACACATAAATATGTTCAAAACTCATAACCTCACCTTCGGATCTGCCATGTTAATGTAGATGTTTGTAGATTATGGAATTTAGTTAGATTGATTCAAAACCAAAAACTCGCCGTTCCTCTCTTCCTGCTGTAGATTTCGCGCGCCGAAATGTCCTACTCGCGTTTTTCCCCATTCCAGCACCCCTCCACTTTCGACACTATTTTAAAGGGCTTTACATTGAGCCATAAAATAACTTATAAAACGTATAAAATGCTCTTGACCAAATACAATAATTACGAACATGATTACACTCTGTTTATTATTGTTTTCTTTATTAAATATGGTTATTTGCTTGCAGTGCACTTCAAAGTCTACTCTAGGCATTTCATAACTATGTAAAAGGTTGCTGCATATCTTCAAAACTGGCATGTGTGTTTGAAACATGGATAAATACATAGCTAGCTAAAATGTCAACAAAAGTAACAACCTGATACCATGCAACCAAAGACATTTTATAACTAACCCAAGATAGACCAGAGCCTGTCGTTTCCAATGGGAGCAAATTAATCATAGTGGGCAGAACAAGCAAGAAGGTGGGCAGAGCCAAGCACGAGCTAGTGAGATTCTATTGGCGCGTTCTAACATTTATTTGCATATTTCCATTAGGGAACGCCTACGCTGTGAAGTGCAATAATCAATTCGCCCTTGCACTCCTTCTAAACAACGCAGTCCACTCTGTTTGATACATATTGTAGTTTTGGAAACAGAAAATCGTATAGAGATCAAATGTTTAATCGATGAGAAAATTAGCAGAATGTCGACCAAAATCCATATCGTTCTTCTCCCACTGCCGGGCACTTGGCTTCTGCTCATCACCTTATTTGGTAGTGAGTGGACAAATCAACCGGATGCTTCACATTTATACATCCGGTGAAATATCGGGCTCATTGGTCTATCTGTGATGACATTTTTGTAGATCTAGCACCTTCGTCACTTCCTGTGTCGGAAAATGTTAAAAAATGTTTCTAGATGTATCATTCCAATATAACACAATTAGCAGGAATCATGCAGAATGCGTTCAAAAAATTGTCAGTGGAAATATATAGTGAAGTCATAAAAAAAAAAATATCGCATCATGTCAAAGTTCATATTTTGCACGTGTCCCACAACATGGCAGCCCGCAGTTTCTTCTAGTCAGAAGTGAATTGCCCATAAGCAAATATTATTTGTCAGAGCTGTAAGAGCAAAAGTGAAGGTAACTTTCTTGTTTGCTCTTCTGTATAGTAATATCCTAGGCTAGCCGTTCTTTTCAGTGCTAAATTATGCTCGTGCTTTTGTTAATTTGCTTTGCTAAATCTCAGCCACTTTGCTACACTCACTGTAACTGTAACAACTCTGTAAGATCTGTAACTTCCTTGGTGCATACCTAAAGAAAGCAGTGCAGAAATAGTGCATGTCTGATATGTGTATTTTCAAATGTCACTTATGAAATGCAGACTGATAGTCCAGATGAAGCATACTTTTGTTAATGATGTCAACTATCCCCCCAAACAGAACATGACAGATGTTGGTGACATCCCAGTGGTTGTTTCTCCATCACTGAAAGAGGAGACGACATCTGACCCCAAAGAAGATACAGTAGATGGGGTGAAAACAGATGAACCCAAAGAAGATGCAGTAGATGGGGTGAAAACAGATGAACCCAAAGCTGAAGGTGGAGGAGAAGAAGCAGCTTCTTCCGACCCTAATAATCTTTACCGCTACGTCCAAGCGGACCTCTTCACCTCTGAGATCTTCAAAGTGGAGATCCAGAACCTTCCCAAATTCATCGGTTTCAATGACCTGAAGAAGTTCCTAGAGAAGCATCGCCTTAACCCACACAAGATCAAACTGTTCGGGAAGCAGACGTTTGCCTTCGTCACCTTTAAGAACGAGGAGGAGAGGGACAAGGCCATGAAGATGGTGCACGGCATGCAGTGGAAGGGCCGGGTGCTCAGTGTGCGCCTGGCCAAGCCCAAGGCGGACCCTATGCTCAGGAAGAGGGGGCGGGATGAGGCTGGGGGTGCCGGGCAGCCCCCCTCCAAGCGGCAGGAGGCAGAGGAGGATGAGGCACCCCTCAGCGTACAGATCGCCAACGTGGTGACGCCCCTGTGGAACGTGCCTTATGAGGAGCAGCTGAGGAGGAAGGAGCAGGAGGTGGAGGGGGTTCTGCAGAGACTGGCCAGGTAAAGAGACGTGTATAGGCCCATGCCATGTGTGGCTTCTGGTTCACTTCACAAGAATAGCCTCAAGTGGGGCATCGATAGGATTACTGCAGTCTATTGCATTATATCCTGTCTTATTATATCCTAACATGAAAGACACCACAGAAATGTACTAATGAGATGACTTCATAGTTTATAGATGACTTTAAGGCCTTTATCTGGTCCTTCCTTTGCTCTAATGAACGGAACAATTGGATGTCTTTATTTGAGTATGCCTTTAATAACAATTGCCTGCAGAGAAGTGTGTTACTCAAACTACACAAAGGAAAACTGACTGTACATCATGTTATTATGTCCTCCCCTTTTCTGTTCAGAGAAATAGGCAACACCAACAAAGCGATGCTGCCCTGGCTGTTTGTGCAGAAGGAGAAGTACAAGAGAATGTGTTGCCCTCTGGAAGACATTCGCCCATCTCCGTCTCAGGTACAATGCCATACTGTAGAAACCTCTCTCTGAGTACTGTTGTTTTGAGACCCCCAGGATGTTATATTTAAGCAATAAGGCCAGAGGGTGTGTGGTATATGGCCAATATACCACGGCTAAGGGCTGTTCTTATGCACAACGCAACACGGAGTGCCTGGATTTAGCCCTTAGCTGTGGTATATTGGCCATATACCACAAACCGGTTACCAACGTAATTAGAACAGTAAACAAGTAATTTTGCATCATACCCGTGGTATATTGTCTCGTATACCACGGCTTTCAGCCAATAAGCATCCAGGGCTCGATCGACCAGTTTTTTAAAAATAAATAAATTAATTTCACCTTTATTTAACCAGGTAAGCCAGTTGAGAACACTTCTCATTTACAACTGCGACCTGGGCAAGATAAAGCAAAGCAGTGCGATAAAAACAACAACACAGAGTTACATATGGGGTAAATAAAACATAAAGTCAAAAATACAAACAGAAAATATATATACAGTGTGTGCGAATGTAGTAAGTTATGGAGGTAAGGCAATAAATAGGCCATAGTGCAAAATAGTTACAATTTAGTATTAACACTGGAATGATAGATGTGCAAATAGAGATACTGGGGTGCAAATTAGCAAAATAAATAACAATATGGGGATGAGGTAGTTGGGTGGGCTAATTTCAGAATGGCTGTGTACAGGTGCAGTGATCGGTAAGCTGCTCTGACAACTGACGCTTAAAGTTAGTGAGGGAGATAAGAGTCTCCAGCTTCAGAGATTTTTGCAGTTCGTTCCAGTCATTGGCAGCAGAGAACTGGAAGGAATGGCGGCCAAAGGAGGTGTTGGCTTTGGGGATGACCAGTGAGATATACCTGCTGGAGCGCAGACTACGAGTGGGTGTTGCTATGGTGACCAGTGAGCTAAGGTAAGACTGGGATTTGCCTAGCAGTGATTTATAGATGACCTGGAGCCAGTGGGTTTGGCGACGAATATGTAGTGAGGGCCAGCCAACGAGCGTACAGGTCAAAATGGTGGGTAGTATATGGGGCTTTGGTGACAAAACGGATGGCACTGTGATAGACTACATCCAATTTGCTGAGTAGAGTGTTGGAGGCTATTTTGTAAATTACATTGCCGAAGTCAAGGATCGGTAGGATAGTCAGTTTTACGAGGGCATGTTTGGCAGCATGAGTGAAGGAGGCTTTGTTGCGAAATAGGAAGCCGATTCTAGATCTAACTTTTGATTGGAGATGCTTAATGTGAGTCTGGAAGGAGAGTTACAGTCTAACCAGACACCTAGGTATTTGTAGTTGTCCACATACTCTAGGTCAGACCGCCGAGAGTAATGATTCTAGTCGGGTGGCGGGTGCAAGCAGCGTTCGGTTGAAGAGCATACATTTAGTTTTACTAGTGTTTAAGAGCAGTTGGAGGCTACGGAAGGAGTGTTGTATGGCGTTGAAGCTCGTTTGGAGGTTTGTTAACACAGTGTCCAATGAAGGGCCAGATGTATACAAAATGGTGTCGTCCGCATAGAGGTGGATCCGAGCTTCACCAGCAGCAAGAGCAACATCATTGATCTACACAGAGAATAGAGTCGGCCCGAGAATTGAACCCTGTGGCACCCCCATAGAGACGGCCAGAGGTCCAGACAACAGGCCCTCCGATTTGACACATTGAACTCTACTCTAGTTGGTGAACCAGGTGAGACAGTCATTAGAGAAACCAAGGCTATTTAGTCTGCCAATAAGAATGTGGTGGTTGACAGAGTCGAAAGCCTTGGCCAGGTCGATGAAGACGGCTGCGCAGTACTGTCTATTATCGATCGCGGTTATAATATCGTTTAGGACCTTGAGCGTGGCTGAGGTGCACCCATGACCAGCTCGGAAACCGGATTGTATAGCGGAGAAGGTACGGTGGGATTCGAAATGGTCAGTGATCTGTTTAACTTGGCTTTCAAATACTTTCGAAAGGCAGGGCAGGATGGATATAGGTCTGTAACAGTTTGGATCTAGAGTGTCACCCCCTTTGAAGAGGGGGATGACCGCGGCAGCTTTCCAATCTCTTGGGATCTCAGACGTTACAAAAGAGAGGTTGAACAGGCTAGAAATAGGGGTTGCGACAATTTCGTCGGCTAATTTTAGAAAGAAAGGGTCCAGATTGTCTAGCCCAGCTGATTTTAGGGGTCCAGATTTTTCAGCTCTTTCAGAACATCAGCTGTCTCAATTTGTGTGAAGGAGAAGCGGGGGGGGGCATGGGCAAGTTGCAGCGGAGGGTGCAGAGCTGGTGGCCGGGGTAGTGGTAGCCAGGTGGAAAGCATGGCCAGCCGTAGCAAAATGCTTGTTGAAATTCTCGATTATTGTAGATTTATCGGTGGTGACAGTGTTTCCTAGCCTCAGTGCAGTGGGCAGTTGGGAGGAGGTGCTCTTATTTTCCATGGACTTTCCATGGTTTATAATAGGCCTACATATGGCTGCCTGCCCTGGCAACCTGGGGTGAACCTTTGCTGTCCCAGCCTGCATAGGTTTTCTGTGACTACATCAAGAAGCTGAAATCATTATGGGCTTTTTAGTTGTGGGGTTGATTTAACTAAGTCCAGATGCACTCTGGCATTTTGATCATCCTGCTGAAAATGAGTATCTCAGCTACCAGCAAGGGGTTTGACAACCTGGTGTCTTAACGAAATACATACACTAACTGCACTCCCTGTCTGGGTATGCACATGCTGAACTTTGACCTTAAACATCCCTTTGAAAAGAGTCGTCTTCTTCTTTCCCCTACTCTTATCATGCAGATTGAATACAGGAACAAGTGTGAGTTTGTCATTGGTATTGGAGCGAATGGAGAGGATAAGACCATAGGCTTCAGACTGGGGAAGTACAAAGGGGGTTCCTGTGCCGTGGTGGGACCTTCAGACAGCATCCACGTCACCACTGAGGCCAAGAGAGTGGTCAGTGAGTTCCAGAAATTCATCAGGTATTAATGACATCTTACTGAGAGGGAGGCCTCATCTCTGTCCTGCACTGATCCCGCCCTGATCACACGTCTCAGTTAAATATTCTGTCCACTGTATCATATCTGCCCTATATACACAATTTGAGCTACATACTGGTTTTAGCATGCAACCAGAAGGAATCAAAAATAACGCTGCACATGGTAATACAGTAGCCTGGTGGCCTCAGATCTGTTTCTGCTGTATAGCCAACTCTTCTGGTTGTCAACTATATAGCTTCAACAGCTCTAGGACCACCAGGCTAGCAAAATGGGGGTGCTAGATGTACAGTTGAAGTCGGAAGTTTACATACACCTTAACCAAATACATTTCAACTCAGTTTTTCACAATTCCTGACATTTAATCATAGTAAAAAGTCCCTGTCTTAGGTCAGTTAGGATCACCACTTCATTTTAAGAATGTGAAATGTCAGAATAATAGTAGAGAGAATTATTTATTTCAGCTTTTATTTATTTCATCACATTCCCAGTGGGTCAGAAGTTTACATACACTCAATTAGTATTTAGTAGCATTGCCTTTAAATTGTTTAACTTGGGATAAACGTTTCGGGTAGCCTTCCACAAGCTTCCCACAATAAGTTGGGTGAATTTTGGCCCATTCCTCCTGACAGAGCTGGTGTAACTGAGTCAGGTTTGTAGGCCTCCTTGCTCGCACACACTTTTTCATTTCTGCCCACAAATGTTCTATAAGATTGAGGTCAGGGCTTTGTGATGGCCACTTCAATACCTTGACTTTGTTGTCCTTAAGCCATTTTGCCACAACTTTGGAAGTATGCTTGGGGTCATTGTCCATTTGGAAGACCCATTTGCGACCAAGCTTTAACTTATTGACTGATATCTTGCTTCAATATATCCACATAATTTTCCTTCCTCATGATGCCATCTATTTTGTGAAGTGCACCCGTCCCTCCTGCAGCAAAGCACCCCCACAGCATGATGCTGCCACCCCCGTGCTTCACGGTTGGGATGCTGTTCTTCGGCTTACAAGCCTCGCCCTTTTTTCCTCCAAACATAACGATGGTCATTATGGCCAAACAGTTCTATTTTTGTTTAATCAGACCAGATGACATTTCTCCAAAAACTACGATCTTTGTCCCCATGTGCAGTTGCAAACCGTAGTCTGGCTTTTTTATGGCGGTTTTGGAGCAGTGGCTTCTTTTCCAAGTTGTTTAAAGGCACAGTCAACTTAGTGTATGTAAACTTCTGACCCACTGGAATTGTGATACAGTGAATTAAGTGAAATAATCTGTCTGTAAACAATTGTTGGAAAAATTACTTGTGTCATGAATGAAGTAGATGTCCTAACCGACTTGCCTAAAATAGTTTGTTAACAAGATATGTGTGGAGTGGTTGAAAAACAAGTTTTAATGACTCAAATCAAATTTTATTTACATTTTACATTTGAGTCATTTAGCAGACGCTCTTATCCAGAGCGATTTACAGGAGCAATTAGGGTTAAGTGCCTTGCTTAAGGGCACATCGACAGATTTTTCACCTAGTCGGCTCAGGGATTAGAACCAGCGACCTTTCGGTTACTGGCACAACGCTCTTACCCACTAAGCTACCTGCACATACACGTGTTTAGCAGATGTTATAGCGGGTGTAGCGAAATGCTTGTGAACCTAAGTGTATGGAAACTTCTGACTTCAACTGTAAATAATGTTATCACTTCTTTTGACCCATCATTTGGACTTTGTTTATCTAAACAGGACAACCCCATACTCAGTGTACAGCCCTGAGACATACGAGGGCCACTGGAAGCAGCTAACAGTGCGGACCACAAGGACCAAGCAGGCCATGGCTATGGTGTTCTTTAACCCACAGGTACAAATAAAACATGTTTCAATGTGGTTAATAATACATTATAAACTGGGTGGTTCGAGCCCTGAATGCTGATTTGGCTGAAAGCCGTGATATATCAGACCGTATACCACAGGTATGACAAAACATTTATTTTTACTGCTCTAATTACGTTGGTAACCAGTTTATAATAGCAATAAGGCATTGCGCCGTGCATAAGAACAGCCCTTAGCCATGGTATATTGGCCATATACCACACCTTCTCGGGCCTTATTGTGGTCCTCTGTAGCTCAGCTGGTAGAGCACGGCGCTTGTAACGCCAAGGTAGTGGGTTCGATTCCTCGGGACCACCCATACACACAAAAATTTATGCACACATGACTGTAAGTCGCTTTGGATAAAAGCGTCTGCTAAATGGCATATTATATTATTATAAATAAAGAATGTAATGATTCTTAGATCATAATGTGTACATTTCTGTACCACAGCCCAAACTTGTATTTATCGCTGGATTCTTTAGCTGAACAATATAAGTGTAGTGACTCTCCTTTCAAATCCTGTCATTTATTCTTGCTTTTTCTACTTTGCAGAAACTTGAGGAAAAAGAACTAAACGCCCTGAAGAGCTCAATTAAAGAGTATTTCACAGAGGGTGACGGGAAAGAGAGTGGTGTAACCGCTCTGTACTTTGTGTCAGAGGGACAAAGGTAAGATCATTAGAAAAACAACAATTTAACGGTGTGAGAATGCACATGGACATTTTGTGATTGACAGATAATGTTGTGTTCACTAAGGCAATCCCCTAACCCGGAGGACTTGCCGTGTGAGCTGGTAGTTGGAGAGGAGTGTATTCACGAGGAGCTTCTTGGCCTGAAGTTCAGGATATCCCCCCATTCTTTCTTCCAGGTTAGTATCCCATGTCACGTATCGTAGCTGTAGAGTCTTCACCTATTTACTTACCATCTTCAGTCCATTTGGCATTGTTTTTTAAATTATATTTCATTATATAGAGATACTGTATGTTGTATTTCCTCCGCCATTTTAAGAGCCTCCAAGTTAGTGTCTCTGAGGTACAGCACTATAAACTCATACTACTCAAACTAAAATACAGTGGGTATCATAAGTATTCATACCCTTGGATTTCTTCACATTTTATTGTTTCAAAGTGGGAATAACAAGGATGTAATTGTCCTTTTTTGTCAACGATCTACACAAAATATTCTGTCAAAGTGGATGACAAATTCTAACGTTTTTTAAAGATTAATGAAAAATAAAACACTTGATTGATTAGATAAGTATTCACCCCCCCACATTTGGCAGTGATTACTGCTGTGAGTCTTTTTTTAAGTCTCTAAGAGCTTTGCATACCTGGATTTTAAAAATTCTTCAACCTCTGTCAAGGGGTTGGTGGTAATATCTATACAGCAATTTTACGTCAAAAAGCAGATTGAAGTCAAGATTGAAGTCAAAACTATAACTTGGCCACATTCACTGTCTTCTTGGTAAGCAACTCCAGTGTAGATTTGGCCTCGTGTTGTAAGTTATTGTCCTGCTGAAAGGTGAAATCCTCTCCCAGTGTATTGTGTGAAGCAGGTTTTCCTCTAGGATTGTGCCTGTGCTTAGCTCCATTCCATTTCTTTTCATCCTGGAAAACTCGCCAGTCTTTGCCGATGTCAAGCATAACCATACCATGATTCAGCCACCACCATGCTTGAAAATAAGGAGGCAATTACTCAGTGATGTGTTGTGTTGGATTTGCCCCAAAGATAAGGCTTTGCATTTAGGCCAAAAAGTGTATTCCTTTGCAGTGTTTTTGTTGTTGCAGTATTACTTTAGTGCTTTGTTCCATACAGGATGCATGTTTTGTAATATTTTCACTCTGTCATTTACAGTACATTCGGAAAGTATTCAGACCCCTACTTTTTCCAAATTTTGTTACGTTACAGCCTTATTCTAAAATGGATTAACTGACATTTGTTCCTCCTCAATCTACACACAATACCCCATATTGACAAAGCAAAAACAGGTTTTTAGAAATGTTTGCAAATTTATTACAAATAAAAAACGGAAAAACCTTATTTACGTAAGTCTTCAGACCCTTTGCTATGAGACTCGAAATTGAGCTCAGGTGCATCCTGTTTCCATTGATCATCCTTCAGATGTTTCTACAACTTGATTGGAGTCCACCTGTGGTAAGTTCAATTGACTGGACATGATTTGGAAAGGCACACACCTGTCTATAAGGTTCTACAGTTGACAGTGCATGTCAGAGCAAAAACCAAGCCATGAGGTCAAAGGAATTGTCCATAGAGCTCCAAGACAGGATTGTGTCGAGGCACAGATCTGGGGAAGGGTACCAAAACATTTCTGCAGCATTGAAGGTCCCCAAGAAGTGGCCTCCATCATTCTTAAATGGAAGAAGTTTGGAACCACCAAGACTCTTCCTAGAGCTGGCCGCCCGGCCAAACTGAGCAATCGGGGGAGAAGGGCCTTGGTCAGGGAGGTGAACAAGAACCCGATGGTCACTCTAACAGAGCTCCAGAGTTCCTCTGTTGAGATGGGAGAACCTTCCAGAAGGACAACCATCTCTGCAGCAATCCACCAATCAGGCCTTTATGGTAGAGTGGCCAGACGGAAGCCACTCCTCTGTAAAAGGCACATGACAGCCCGCTTGGAGTTTGCCAAAAGGCACCTAAAGGACTCTTAGACCAACCTGACATAGCTTGAGAGGATCTGCAGACAAGAATGGGAAAAACTCCCCTAATACAGGTGTGCCAAGCTTGTACCGTCATACCCAAGAAGACTCAAGGCTGTAATGGCTGCCAAAGGTGCTTCAACAAAGTAATGAGTAAAGGGTCTGAATACTTATGTAAATGTGATATTTCAGATTATCATTTTTTATAGATTTAATAATATTTATAATGCTTTGTCATTATGGGGTATTGTGTATGGATTGTTGAGGGGGGGAAAACAATTTAATCCATTTTAGAATAAGGCTGTAATGTAAAAAATTAGGAAAAAGTAAAGGGGTCTGAATACTGTCCGAATGCACTGTAGGTCATTATTGTACAATGTTGTTGATCCATCCTAAGTTTTCTCCCATCACAGCAATTGAACTCTGTAGCTGTTTTAAAATCACCAATGGCCTCATGGTGACATCCTGAGCAGTTTCCTTCCTTCCTGCAGCTCAGTTCAGAAGGATGACTGTATCTTCGATGTGTCTGGGTGGTTTAATACATCATCCACAGCATAATTACTAACTTGACCATGCTTCAATGTTGATTTGTTATTGTTACCCATCTACCAATCACTGCCCTTCTTTATGAGGCTTTCGAAAAGCTCCCTGGTCTTTGTTGTTGAATCTGTGTTTGAAATTCAATACTTGACTGAGGGACCTTACAGATGTATGTGAGGGACAGAGGAATGGGTAGGCATTCTAAAATCATGTCAACCCCTATTGTTTCACACAGTGAGTCCATGTACACTGAACAAAAATACTGAGTTACAGTTCATATAAGGAAATAATTTAATTGAAATAAATTCATTAGGCCCTAATCTATGGATTTCACATTACTGGGAATACAGATATGCATCAGTTGGTCACAGATACCTTAAAATAAAGGTAGGGGCGTGGATCAGAAAACCAGTCAGTATCTGGTGAAACCAACATTTGCCTCATGCAGCGCGACATATCCTTCGCATAGAGTTGATCAGGCTGTTGATTGTGGCCTATGGAATGTTGTCCCACTCCTCTTCAATGGCTGTGCGAAGTTGCTGGATATTGGCGGGAACTGGAATACGCTGTCGTACATGTCGATCCAGAGCATCCCAAACATTCTCAATGGGTGACATGTCTGGTGAGAATGCAGGCCATGGAAGAGCTGGGACATTGTCAGCTTCCAGGAATTGTGTACAGATCCTTGCGACATGGGGCCATGCATTATCATGCTGAAACATGAGGTCATGGCGGCGGATGACTGGCACGACACAACGCCATACACGCTGTCTGCCATCTGCTCGGTGCAGTTGAAACCGGGATTCATCCTTGAAGAGCACACTTCTCCAGCGTGCCAGTGGCCATCAAAGATTAGCATTTGCCCACTGAAGTCTGTAACGACGCCAAACTACAGTCAGGTCAAGACCCTGGTGAGGATGACAAGCACACAGATGAGCTTCCCTGAGACGGTTTCTGACAGTTTGTGCAGGAATTCTTTGGTTGTGCAAACCCACAGTTTCATCAGATCTCCAGGTGGCTGGTCTCAGACGATCCCGCAGGTGAAGATGCCGGATGTGGAGGTCCTGGGCTGGCGTGGTTACAGTTGAACGCTCCCTCAACTTGAGACATCTGTGGCATTGTGTTATGTGACAAAACTGCACATTTTAGAGAGGCCTTTTATTGTCCCCAGCACAAGGGTAATGATTGTTGTTTAATCAGCTTCTTGATATACCACACTTGTTGGATCATCTTGGCAAAGGAGAAATGCCCACTAACAGGGATGTAAACAAATGAGAGAAATAAGCATTTTGTATGGAAAATCTCGGGGATCTTTTATTTTGGCTCATGAAACATGGGACCAACACTTTACATGTTGCGTTTTATATTTTTGTTCAGTGTAACTTTTTATTATGTGATTTGTAAAGCCACATTTTACTCCTGAACTAATTTAGGCTTGTCTAAACAAAGGGGGTGAATACTTATGCAACTACTATATTTTAGTTATTACAATTGTATTAATTTGTAAAAATGTGTATAATTTTCTTTTCCCTTTGACATTATTGAGTATCCTATGTAGGTAAATGACCAAAAAAATATCACAATTAATTATATTTCAATCCCACTTTGTAACACAACAAAATATGAAAAAATCCAAGGGGGATGAATACTTATGATACCCACTGTATGTCACTGACCAGGTGAATACAGGGGCAGCAGAGGTGCTGTACTCAGCTGTAGGAGAATGGGCCCAACTGGACAAGGACAGCACTGTGCTGGACATATGCTGCGGGACAGGAACCATCGGCATCTCCCTGGCTAAGGTACTATAGAGAACAAGAGAAATGTGTTCGTTGACTTATAAAGACATGGCATCCTACATACTTTACATGCAGGGTTGGGAGTCAATTCCATTTCAGTTAAGGAAGTAAACTGAAATGGTATTTAACACAACCCTGATTACAACTGTATGGATCAATCTGTATGGAAATGGAATAGTCCCTGTTGACACTGTGCCGCACACTGTGTCCTGCAGAGGGTGAGGAAGGTGATTGGGATAGAGATGTGTCAGGAAGCTGTGAAGGATGCCAAAGTCAACGCGAAGATCAATGGTAAGAGGCGTAATCAGATTGGTGCCTGGCGTCTACTGCCGCTTGACCAATGTGCCCAGGAGTTATGCCTGACATACAGTACATGTTCAAATCTAATATCCAAACTCTTTTGAATATTCCCTGACCTCTGCCTAATCAATCCATTTGCTGTAGTGCCATGAGAGAGAACCTGACTGTGACTGAAACGTTTCAGGGCTGAGTAACATTGAGTTCCACTGTGGAAAGGCTGAAGACGTGTTCCAGATGGTGCTCAACGCTGTCGTGTCCCCCAGCATCACAGCTATCGTGGACCCACCCAGAGCGGGCTTACGTATGTTACAAAATATACTGAAGCTTTTCTTCCACACACAATCAGTTTGTCCGTGCACTGTATATTTCAATTGAGTGAAAGGACATACAGTAATTGATTGTCTACAATCTAGATTCAAAGGTCATTCTGGCAATCAGAAGAGCGGAGCATCTGAAAAGGCTGGTTTATGTGGCATGCAATGCCAAGGCAGCCATGAACAACTTCATAGAGTGAGTAATAATACCCTGTCCTTTTTCATTCTGCACTTGCAGGCCATACATTCAGTATGTCTTCTCCATGGGGATTCTGGTTCTAAATTCGATCTCTGTGTAGTCTGTGCAGGGCTCCCTCCAAGCGTGTACGTGGAGCTCCGTTCCGTCCGGTGCGGGCCATGGCTGTGGACCTCTTCCCCCAGACCATGCACTGTGAGATGCTGCTGCTCTTTGAGAGGGTGGACTACAGCTCCAAGAGTAGCAGTGAGAAACCTGAAGAAATGACCCAGGGCACTAGCGAGAAGCTGGAAGAGACAACCACCACAACTTAATACTACAACCTTTGACCCTTTGCAGTCTCACTATCTGCTCATTTCAAGTTAACGGTTTTCTACTTACTGGTTCTACACGTTAATATCCAATAACATTTTCCATATGTGGATTCTGTAGTTCTTATACTGTACCATTTAGGGGCAGGATAACATAACACTGCATTTGTTTAATACTGCCTTGGTTATCTTGATGCGTAATAATATTGTTTTACAACTTAAAAATAAAAAGATCCCAGTAAAATAAGCCCTTGTTAATGATGACTAATACAGGCAGGGGTAATTTCAAAGCAGGAGCCAGCCAAAGTTAGTCATGACTTTTATTTGCATAAACAAATTTCACTGAAGTCAGCGATCCCAAGTCGCAGTTACATACTTCATTTTCTAGGCAGCAATATCTAGCAAATAACTTCAAGTGTAAAAAGCATATTTTCTTAACACAGCAGCCTTGTGCCCATGTAAGATGAAATGTTAGATGCTGTAGACATTCAGGAAAAGCCTTACACAAATGAAATACTTCACACAACGAATGCACAGAAGTTTATATTTTGTTCTAGTAGGTATTGCATCTTTTTTTCCTTTCCTCATATTTATTTACTTATGTATCATGTGCAGCAACCTACAGTATTCTATAAAAATGCATAAGACTAAGCTTTGGTTCACACTGCTCCTTTAGCTATCAGATTTAATAATAATGACATGATCGTATTTTGTTAGAGGTAAAGTGTACCAACTTCATTTTCATAGATTGCCTTTTGAGGAGAGGATCGCAGTTCCACATTCTACACATCAATGCTTGAAGATGTGATTGATCAGAACACTCACGATCAGTTGTCACAATGATTGCAAACAAACGTATGCAAAACCTTAGACAATTATTTAAAATCCATATATGCTAAAGGCAATTTTTTAAATATTACTGTCTTATCATATTATTACAAATACTAAAACAGGCTAAACAAATGCTGTATCAAGTAAGAGAGGCTTGGTCTATCCATTTCCCTTTAAGGGGGACTTGGGCCATGTGAATGCTCTGGGGAGCCCTACATGAAATGGGTGAACGAAGGCAACAGGTTGCCAATTGTTTTCCTATCAGTTTATGGGTCCTTAAAATGCAACATCCACTGAGAAACTCTCTTTTGGTATTTTTTTTTTCATCAGTCCACTGTTGATAAAGTCCCAAAATGTTTTGCATGTCAGCAGTCAAGTTTCAAGATATTGGACTTTCAAGAAGCAAAGTGTCACCGGCCACATTATCATGATGCAAAATGGCTATCACAGCAGCTGAACTGTACCAGATAGTAAGATGGTCTGCATGTTGTATTGTTTTGCTTTAAATAGTCTAAAAAAATAATGAAGCGGCTACACCTAAACGCAGAAACAAAAATATAGGTATTCTTAAATATGTAACTACCTTGTATATCTCCTCAATCACTTCTCAATGACTACAGTACTCCAAGCCCTGGTGCTTGTGTTCTGTCTGCAGTGCTAACGTGGCAACAGGATCTTAGCTAGACAGATCAGCCTTGTCAGCTGTCCATTGATATGTTTCATCCTGTACTTCCAAAACAAAAAAAGGCAATTAAAATCATTAGTCCCGCTTAATACGTCTCGAGATGAACGTCCGTTCCCTAATCAGTTCAAAATGCATTTCTCGTACTAACACAATGAGCATGTAACAAGTATATGATTAGACAGCAAACAATGCATTTGAATACATAACAGGTACACATTTCACGTGTAAATGAAAACGTAAGCTGGCCTTTCTTTAGCCGAAGCATACTCATCAAAAACCCTAATCACCATCCAAATTATACACAACATCAACCATCAATAATTTCCAATGACAACAGCATATAAATTAGTTTTCCACAACGTACCTGTAAAGCAAAAGCAGAGAGCGCAAACTAATCCCTTGGAATAGGCAATGCTTTAAGCATACAAGGAAACCTGTTAGAAATGTTCAGTCTCCGTAAAGTATCAGGTACTTTAGGTTATATTTGGAGTGTATTAGAACTTCAAATCAATGCAATATAATTGTAGGGGGAGGAGTCTAGTGGTTGTCAGCAGTTATTACTACACACAGTAAACAGGCTGAATATTTGTTGTGGTTCATAGATACATGTCAAGTCATTTCAACCGGTCTGTCTGCAACCCCTATGGTTCAATTTATAAAGTGCCACTGCGTAGAGATTGCATCTAGAGGTAGATGGTGTTAACTCTACTGTCTGTTAGTGCATTTGTCTTATTCCTACCCTATCCACTAACAATGAATCAAAAACACCTTTGGAGTAAAATAATAAACAGCTTGGAGAAACAGTGCTAAGATAAGATGACCACCGCTATACTATAAATGTCGAGTTGTATTGCCATTTTATAATGATGCATAATTGGATGATAGATTGGTGGAGTGGCTTTTAAATCGGACAGTGACTATGGTTACCATTTGTCAGTGCCATGTTAGGTTGGTTGCAGTGATAGTTCCTAGACGTCAACAGTGCAGAGGGGCTGACTGCCAGGCTGGGCTGACTCCATTATGGTCATCTTGGGCTTCTTCCTGGTTTCCTCCTGAAGCACAACATAAAGACACATCAGGGTTGTATCCATTAGGGCACACTGTAGCAAAATGTTTTGCACCAGAAAAAAAAACAAGCATTTCTTATTGGACAAGTTCAGGTAGTTCCTCCCTGTTTCAGTCCGTTTCCTAATGTTTGGTGCCTAATGAATACACCCCAGAAAATGTCAACAGTTTGAACTGCTGCGCCAACCTGTGAGAAACTTACCTGGAAAAAACATAATTCAAGATCATAATCCTGGGTACACTTACATAAACATAATTTACCAAATCTCCTTCCTTAGTGTCTTTGAAATATAAGGTACGGATGGAGTAACCATAGGGAATATGAGGAACACGACAGTGCAGAGACATGGCAAATGGAGCAAAGGCCAGAAGAATTTAGTCTAGGTACTAAGGTTGGATAATATTTGGGGAGACCTCTTCTACGATATGCTACTCCAAATATCGCGATATCCGATAATCGTTTTGCGCCGGTAATGGCTAGATAATTCCAGACTGTGCCATTTGTGCTTATTTACAATATTATAGTCGCATTCTCATTAAATAATCTTAGTATGGCAAAAAAATAAGGCTTCGTTAATTTAGACTTCATATTCAACATATTGATACAACTTAACTGAAAACTGCACAGTTTTGATTTGTAAAGTTCAAATAGAGCAGGACTGCCCAACCCTGTTCCTGGAGAGCTACCGTCCTGTAGGTTTTTGCTCCAACCCTACTCTAGCACACCTGATTCTAATAATTAGCAGGTTATCAGTACTCCCGAGTGGCGCAGTGGTCTAAGGCACTGCATCGCAGTGCTAGCTGTGCCACTAGAGATCCTGGTTCGAATCCAGGCTCTGTCGTAGCCGGCCGCGACCGGGAGAACCATGGGGCAGCGCACAATTGGCCCAGCGTCGTCCAGGATAGGGGAGGGAATGGCCGGCAGGGATGTAGCTCAGTAGAGCATGGTGTTTGCAACGCCAGGGTTGTGGGTTCGATTCCCACGGGGGGCCAGTATGAAAAATATAAAATAATGTATGCACTAACTGTAAGTCGCTCTGGATAAGAGCGTCTGCTAAATGACGTAAATGTAAAATGATAAGATGAATCAGGTTAGTAACGCCTGGGGTTGGAGCAAAAACCTACAGGAGGGTAGCTCTCCAGGAACAGGGTTGGGAAACCCTGAAATAGAGTATAGCCTTGCACATCACGATATATCATCTTTCACTTCACAATTTATCGTCAATGTCAAATATCATGATATTCGATTGAATCATATAATCGGCCCAATCCTACTTGGTTCCACTATGTTCAACACCGGACTCCGTGCAGCTTAGGTAGCCTGACAGGGTTATCAGAGTGAAAGGTAGAACCCTCTAGAACAGGGCTCTCCAACCCTGTTCCTGGAGAGCTACCATCCTGTATGTTTTCACTCCAACCCTAATCTAGCACACCAGATTCTAATAATTAGCTGGTTGATGAGCTGAATCAGGTTAGTTACAACTGCGGTTGGAGTGAACACCTACAGAAGGGTAGCTCTCCAGGAACAGGGTTGGAGAGCCCTGCTCTAGAAAGAAACTCATGACGAGGCCAAATGCAGAGGTTAACACCAGAGACCCAGGTTCTAGTTGGAGCTCCTTCTACAGTCGTGGTCAAAAGTTGAGAATGACACAAATACTAATTTTCACAATGTCTGCTGCCTCAGTTTTGATGATGGCAATTTGCATATACTCCAGAATGTCATGAAGAGTGATCAGATGAATTGCAATTAATTGCAAAGTCCCTCTTTGCCATGAAAATGAACTTAATCCCAAAAAAACATTTCCACTGCATTTCAGCCCTGCCACAAAAGGACCAGCTGCCATCATGTCAGTGATTCTCTCGTTAACACAGGTGAGAGTGTTGACGAGGGCAAGGCTGGAGATCACTCTGTCATGCTGATTGAGTTAGAATAACAGACTGGAAGCTTTAAAAGGAGGGTGGTGCTTGAAATCATTATTCTTCCTCTGTTAACCATGGTTACCTGCAAGGAAACACGTGCCGTCATCATTGCTTTGCACAAAAAGGGCTTCACAGGCAAGGACATTGCTGCTAGTAAGATTGCACCTAAATCAATAATTTATCGGATCATCAAGAACTTCAAGGAGAGAGGTTCAATTGTTGTGAAGAAGGCATCAGGGCGCCCAAGAAAGTCCAGCAAGCGCCAGGACCGTCTCCTAAAGTTGATTCAGCTGCGGGATCGGGGCACCACCAGTGCAGAGCTTGCTCAGGAATGGCAGCAGGCGGGTGTGAGTGCATCTGCACGCACAGTGAGGCGAAGACTTTTGGAGGATGGCCTGGTGTCAAGTAGGGCAGCAAAGAAGCCACTTCTCTCCAGGAAAAACATCAGGGATAGACTGATATTCTGCAAAAGGAACAGGGATTGGACTGCTGAGGACTGGGGTAAAGTCATTTTCTCTGATGAATCCCCTTTCCGATTGTTTGGGGCATCCGGAAAACACCTTGTCCCGAGAAGACAAGGTGAGCGCTACCATCAGTCCTGTGTCATGCCAACAGTAAAGCATCCTGAGACCATTCATGTGTGGGGTTGCTTCTCAGCCAAGGGAGTGGGCTCACTCACATTTTTGCCTAAGAACACATCCTCCGAGAGCAACTTCTCCCAACCATCCAAGAACAGTTTGATGACGACCAATTCCTTTTCCAGCATGATGGAGCACCTTGCCATAAGGCAAAAGTGATAACTAAGCGGCTCGGGGAACAAAACATCGACATTTTGGGTCCATGGCCAGGAAACTCCCCAGACCTTAATCCCATTGAGAACTTGTGGTCGATCCTCAAGAGGCGTGTGAACAAACAAAACCCCACAAATTCTGACTAACTCCAAGCATTGATTATGCAAGAATGGGCTGCCATCAGTTAGGATGTGGCCCAGAAGTTAATTGACAGCATGCCAGGGCGGATTGCAGAGGTCTTGAAAAAGAAGGGTCAACACTGCAAATAGACTCTTTGCATAAACTTAATGTAATTGTCAATAAAAGCCTTTGACACTTATGGAATGCTGGTAATTATACTTCAGTATACCATACTAACATCTGACAAAAATATCTCATAACACTGAAGCAGCGAACTTTGTGAAGACCAATACTTGTGTCATTCTCAAAACGTTTGACCACGACTCTATGGGTAACCCTTACCCTCTCCTTAGCCAGTTTCCTCATCTCCTCTTGCAGTTTGTTCAGGATGTGAAGATTTGGCCTGTTCTTTTTGGCATACTGCTGAAGTTCAATCACACTCTTGTCTGAATTTTCCTGCAAAGAACACATAAAAAACAACATCAATAGAAATGAGAGAGATTTCTGGTTGAAAGAGGAGCAGCATATGCCATCAGATCAGTAATAAATCAGTTTTTCCAAAGATGAGCTGAAGTTTATATGACCCTATCTGACCCAACAGCAGTGGAGTGGCTGTGGTGAGGTACAGTATACGAGGTGTACAGCAGTGTTTCCGTTAGCCGGCAAAAAAACTAAATAAATATATATATATATATATACACACACACACATATATAAACTCAGCAAAAAGGTATTTCAAAGATAATTCGTAAAAATCCAAATAACTTCACAGATCTTCATTGTAAAGTGTTTAAACACTGTTTCCCAGGCTTGTTCAATGGACCATAAACAATTAATGAACATGCACCTGTGGAACGGTCATTAAGACACTAACAGCTTACAGACGGTAGGCAATTAAGGTCACAGTTATGAAAACGTAGGACACTAAAGAGGCCTTTATACTGACTCTGAAAAACACCAAAAGTAAGATGCCCAGGGTCCCTGCTCATCTGCGTGAACGTGCCTTAGGCATGCTGCAAGGAGGCATGAAGACTGCAGATGTAGCCAGGGCAATAAATTGCAATGTCCATACTGTGAGACGCCTAAGACAGCTCTACAGGGAGACAGGACGGACAGCTGATCGTCCTCGCAGTGGCAGACCACGTGTAACAACACCTGCACAGGATCGGTACATCCGAACATCACACCTGCGGGACAGGTACAGGATGGCAACAACAACTGCCCGAGTTACACCAGGAACGCACAATCCCTCCATCAGTGCTCAGACTGTCCGCAATAGGCTGAGAGAGGCTGGACTGAGGGCTTGTAGGCCTGTTGTAAGGCAGGTCATCACCAGACATCACCGGCAACAATGACGCCTATGGGCACAAACCCACCATCGCTGGACCAGACAGGACTGGCAAAAAGTGCTCTTCACTGACGAGTCGCAGTTTTGTCTCACCAGGGGTGATGGTCGGATTTGCGTTTATCGTCGAAGGAATGAGCATTACACCGAGGCCTGTACTCTGGAGTGGGATCGATTTGGAGGTGGAGGGTCCGTCATGGTCTGGGGCGGTGTCATCATCGGACTGAGCTTGTTATCATTGCAGGCAATCTCAACGCTGTGCGTTACAGGGAAGACATCCTCCTCCCTCATGTGGTACCTTTCCTGCAGGCTCATCCTGACATGACAATGCCACCAGCCATACTGTTCGGTCTGTGCGTGATTTCCTGCAAGACAGGAATGTCAGTGTTCTGCCATGGCCAGCGAAGAGCCCGGATCTCAAGCCCATTGAGCACGTCTGGGACCTGTTGGATCGGAGGGTGAGGGCTAGGGCCATTCCCCCCCAGACATGTCCGGGAACTTGCAGGTGCCTTGGTGGGAGAGTGGTGTAACATCTCACAGCAAGAACTGGCAAATCTGGTGCAGTCCATGAGGAGGAGATGCAATGCAGTACTTAATGCAGCTGGTGGCCACACCAGATACTGACTGTTACTTTTGATTTTGACCCCCCCTTTGTTCAGGGACACATTATTCAATTTCTGTTAATCATGTCTGTGTCTCAGTTGATGAATCTTGTTATGTTCATACAAATATTTACACATGTTAAGTTTGCTGAATATAAACACAGTTGACAGTGAGAGGACGTTTCTTTTTTTGCTGAGTTTATATACATTTTTTAAGTCGATAAATATAATTGGTGCCGGTCAATTGTCCAGGAGAAAAAGAAAAAAAAATCCCATTGCGAAATAATGCATTTTTGATTATTCATTGATTGAAATACCAGTCGATATAGCGGGAGAGATGCTGCTACAGCTCATCAAACAGCTGTTTGTTGCTGCTGGAGTGAAACACGCTTTAATAAGCCCAATCATTGTGCAACAATTCTAAAGGCAATCACGTGTAAAAAAAAACGAACAAACATGGCCATGATTAAAAAGAGCTAGGCCTACTATTCCCTTCCCCCCACCCCCACTAGTAAATTGAATACGCTTCCCATTCGCTATTCAAGTGCATCGGCAACTAGGCAGGCTTCAGCACGTCACACACCACTTTGCATTGAGCTGGAGACAGTATGCATTTTGAAAACATATACTCAATTGTTTGAAACCTGAACGTTTTACTATATATTGAGGCATGTCTTACCATGTTTCAAAGTAGCCTAGCCAAAATCTAACCAAACATGCAGGCAATTATTTTATAAAGACTTCCATATGCCATTGAAACAAGTAGCCTTTCCTCTCATATTCTATTGGTTTTCAAATCAGCTTTCTTTCATTGTGCAGTAGCCAAAGGCACAATCCTAGTCATATTAGCAACCCATGCTAGTTGTTGCATATTTAGATATCCCCTCTTTCTAAATTTCAAATGGATATTTTCATCTCTGTCACATGAAACCCCTCACAATGGTGTTTTCCCGCTAATTGCATTATGGAACTAACATTCGCGGGTAGCCTACTACCTTGTGTGCATTGCTGCGCTTAGAATGTGAAGAAATAACAGTTTATCAAGATTTTAAGCTAAACGTTCTGATCTGTTGCATCAGCCTCATTGCTTTTAAATTTTTTTGGATGTAGCCTATCATCCCACAACTGTCCCAGAGTCTGTTTGGAATAGGCTATTTATTTCTCGCACAGAACGACAAGCTGACCAATAGAATAGGTAAACTTTTCTACTATGGGGGTTAGTAGATTGACATAGGCTAGTGATTTTGCTGTTTGTTATTCGTCTTGTTAGTTGAGGAAAAGTAAATGTGGACAGTTATTCTTACATAAGCGGAGCGTGGGTTTCAAGTTTGGGGAAACTTATTTTCACCATAAAAATGTACCTTTAAATAAAGCATTCCATGCATCCTCATTTGCAGACTTAGGTCAAATAGCCTACTATTCCTAATGTGATGATTAGATTGGAGTTATAATTTAGAGTATAGAGTAGGCAGACCATAGGCTATAACACAGGATAATGTTGGCCTTTCATAAACACATTTCATGCAAATCTACTACATTTTATATGACTGGAAACATTAGCAGAATATTTCTTTAATACTACAAAAATTACAGGGTAGCCTACTCTGGGCCTATGAGAAGGGGAGACAAACAGAATATGACATCCATCTAACCTGGAGGAGGAAATTATTTTTAAAAGCTAATGATCCTCTGTGGCCAAACCATGCTTTCTGGTGTAGTAGCCTATTTTGAATGATTTTATGTATTTCTGTATAGACAGGACTAAGCTATTTAGGCTATATCATTTTGGCAATGTAATTATATTTACTTTGTCCGGTAAATTAAAATGCTGCCGGTCAAATGTCTGGCGCCACATTTTCCTAACGGAAACCCTGGTGTACAGGTAGCACCTACCTTCTTCACCATCTTATTACTCTCTCTGCCGTACATGCGGAGCAGTGACCCCCAGTTCTTCACGTGGGGGTGCAGCATCTGGAGGATCTTCTGAGACGCCAGCTGCTTCCCCACACGCTTATTCTTGCCTGAAAAATAAGACAAATACATTGATTACACCCATTTGTAATGCTAACACATTTACACTACACAGAGCGGCTTTGAGCAGGACAAATCAGAGCCATAATACTGTATATACAAAGGCAGAAACATGGTGTCCAGTGTAAAGGTTGGCCGAATTCTCTATATATGGCTCTGACAGAACACACAGAGCACTTGTAATGCTGCTTTTACACTACATTAACACAGAGTGGTAGGGAGCAGATTAGATCTGGGACTTGCTGTGGTGACTGGAGGGTCAGTGTGGGGGTAACGTACACCATCCGCGCACAGTGTGCTTGCCACACGTCATCACATATTCACTCTTCTGGTTCTTTCCTGGGATCACCTCAAACTTGATGCTGGTGTCACCCATTCCATGGTTTCTGCAGGGCACAATATATGGTTGAAATTCAAGGTTAATAGATTAATCAGATCAGAACTAGGAATTTCAATTATTCTTACACCTCATGTCTTGAGTCTTACCTCTTAAGGCACTCGTGTAGAATCTGATATGGCGAGAGTAAGCCTGCTTTATTGGTCAGTTCATACACCCTTGAATCTTCAATACTGATATGATTAAAATACTGCAGGAAACAAAAAACGCATGAATGGACATTAGTATTCATCCAGCCTACCAACCCGCTGGTAAAGTTAAATGTTATAAAAGAGACATGTTATCAGACCAAACACAGACAGTGACTAAATTAAATGCCTTTCCAATGATTGGCAGGCTGATACCTCCAGCTCATCCCCTTCTACCAGCTTCTCCTCAGACGTCTGCTTCACAAAGTCAGGGATAAGGATCTCCAGTGTGGCTTGAGCTACAGGGAAGACATCAGTGAAACAACAAGCCAAACGGTCTGTTTATGACTTAAACACATCTTATAGTTTCCATACAGCCTTTGCAGCTGCTTCAGAGGATATACATTAAAATAATGACAGGAGATAAGAGTATTGTACCAGCTTTATTCTTGGCAAGTTTTTTACTGCTTGCAGTTCCTGTGCCATATGTCACTCCCTCTATAATGACAGAGGCTCCAAAGGGTTCACTTGGGTTCTCTGGGGATATAGAAAAGACAGGATTCATTTGGTGTTAACTGCATGATGCCAGCTCTCCAGCCAGGGCTTTGGTGATTTGTTTTGTACTAGGAAAAGCATGTCACTTGGACAAGTTAGTGGAAATCAACATCATGAAGGGGGGAAGAAAAGAGGGCCTTACCACATTCAAAAAAGTTGTAAACAGGTCGGACCTTTAGGACACGTTGCATATATTCATGTAGGATGCAAACTTCAGATTTCCCATTTGGGTTAATGACAAACTCTGAGAAAAAGAAAGGAAAAAGTTGAGATTACCTCAATACTCCTCACTGAAATAGTTATTAGACTATGGATGCATCCACAATGGCACCCTAATTCCCTATATAGTGTACTACTTTTGACCAGAGCCCTATAGGCCCTGTGAATAGGGTGACAATTCAGATGTATCCAGTACCTTTCTTGGTCGGGGTATCTGATACAGACAGAGTGATGAGTTTCTGGTTGGCAGGCAGCATGGGTCTCTCTGACTCAGCCTGTTTCCTCTTGATGTCCCTGTTGAACTGCCTGCGCTCTGCCCAAGTACGGAACTTCTTCACGGTCACTTGTTCAAAGTCAAAGCACTTCTCCAGGTAGCTGCGGAACTCCTCAATTTCTGGCAGGTTTTCAATAAGGGAGGGGTATTGGTTAAATTGTTGCTTTAATTAACGTGTATAGCCATTCTTCTTATGAAATGTTCTATCAAAGTCTAGAAAACCTCAATGCCCACGTCCACCAACACACTTTTATCCTCTACGTTTACAAGAAATCAAACATACCATCAGCCATGGCATTCAAAACTACTACCTGCTGGCAAGTCAATTGCTCATCATGGAGTGTGTTGACCCTTACCTATCGATTCATCTTTGCACACCTCCACCTTGGCCCTGACCTGTCCCAGAGCCCCCTGGGCCATCTCAAAGGAGTGGGGCATCTTGCCATGCAGGACAGGGCACCCCTTTATGGTCACATCTGTGACCAGGCCTGTCTCTATCTCCGCCTCCACCTCTCCCTCCCCCAGGCCCACAGCGGTAGCGTCCTCCTGGGCCGTGGAGTCAGGCTCGTCTGGTCTCTCCACGGAGTCTGCCTCCTTCCCAGGCTTCACCGGACACACTTCAGCGTTGGGTGTCACCTCTCCGTTCTGTTCCCTTTCCTCGTGATCCTTCATCTTCCTATAGTGCAGGCAGGGAATGCTACTGGTGGGAGGGTCGTGTTTCTGTACACAGGGGCAAGAGAGGTTTGGTCATGGTTAGAAGCCGGTTGTTACCGTTGTTTGAGAATAGAGAAATTATTGATATCCGTCCTTATTCCTTTAGCTTGAACATTCCTACCAAAACACAAATATTACACCAGTATAGAGTGTATAACAATGGGGTTCCTGACATGTTACTAACCCTCTAAAAAAAAGATTTAAAATGTACAGCAGTAACAGGTTTCTATCTGTCTTATGTATTCCACGTCTTACCCTGATGCTCCCGGTCCCCAGAAAGTAAGGTCTGGACCAGGTCACCACTCTGGTCTCTCTGTGCAGGTAGACTGGAATGCCAGAGTTATGGAATGTCATGATCCATCCGTCTGGTAGTGGCTCAGTGGGTGGACGCCCACGACCTGGGAAACACAAACACATCACTACACACAAACATCTGCAACCAAACACACGAGACGCTACACATGAAACACATCTGCACCACATACATACACAATCTGCCACTAGACACAGAAACGACTACACACCTCACACCATCAATGTTCTCACACCAATGTGTGCCACTCGCTGTAAGATATGATATGAACGCACAACATCAATATGTGCCAGACTCAGATACACCTTTACCAAAGGCAGATCAGTGCCAGACATCCACCACTCACTCTTCAGGACTGTCTTAATTTTGGTCATCATGGGCTGAACACCTCCCTCCACATCCCCGTCGGATGCGTGGTCACTGTCCCCTGCATACTCAGCAGCCCCCTCTGCAAGGCGCATCTTTTTGGGCACAGGCATGCCCTCCTCCAGCAGAGCGTCTACATCATTATCAAAGTCCTCCTGGAAAAGACAGTCGTTGAGGGTGGGGAGAAGGGGTGGGGTGGGATGGGGGGAAGCCCTAACCGGTCATGACTCCTGTTTTCCATTTAGCTAGGGCTATGCCATCTTGTCAGCACCTTATGGTTAAAAGAGTACTGTTGAAGACACTTAGCATACCAACTATGTCAATCTCCAGTAGGAAAGATATGGAACTTCTGCTGCTTCCATCAAGAATCAAAAGGATGCACAAGCTGACATTTTGCTGGTGACAAAAGATCAGTAAGTGGACGATGACGAGGCTCTGCAGAGGCAAAGACAGGGCCCCTTTGGTTACGTACCTCATAGGAGTTATTTAGGTTCACTTCGTCAGCGTGCTCCTGTTGAACTTTGACCTCTGACCTGAACCCCCCCTGCTGCACATCCTCCATGTCCAGGAAGTCCTGACTGAAGTCCTCCAGCTCATCTAGGACCGCAAACTCCACTTTGTTCTCCGGGTCTGCCTCCGCCTCCTCCCCTCTCCTCCCTGCACTGACACCGACCACCCCATTCCCCAGCCCTGACCTACTATCCACTGCCCCTGGCTCTGTATCAGCATCATGAAACTCACCATTAAGGCCCTCTGAGCTGGTCTCCCCTCCACCACCACCCTCCTGACCTATTCCTGTGTACAGCACCTTCCTATCTTTGCTCCTGCTGGTATCTACGACGCTGACACTGATCTTAATGTCTCTGAGTAACTTGAGGTCTGGCAAGAACTTGGTGACGGGGGGTGCGTGGCGGGCTGTTGTAGGGCACGGGGTGCTAGGTTCGGCCTCATCTGACAGGTTATTAATGAAGGTTATGGAGCCCTTGGTGTGGAGCCCCAGGCCCCCTGCTGGGGTGTGTGTGTGTCCATCACCACCAGAGCTAACGTCCATTTCCTCTGCGTCACTGGACGTTTGCAGGGGGGGTGGTGGAGGCTGCGCTTTACCATTAAGGCCCTCCGAGTTAAAATCATCAGGTGGCTCCAACGGTAAGGGGGGTAATATTTCATCTATCTCCATGTTGACTGCGTCTTATGAATCACTAAATACAACTGCCCTATGGGTCACCCTGATTCTTGTTTTGGCAACTATTTCTCATAAGCTTTCAGCTAAAACGCATGCAGAAGCACATTGCACACAAGACTTCGAAAAAATAACACTTCCCTGTATTGACCATGTACCAGTGTTGAATATGCTAAGTTGACTACATTGTTCTTTTCATTAATGTAGACAGTTTTTTAGAATCACTGTCTCAATTATTGGAAATCACAATGCATTCAGCTTATATTGCTCGGATCTAGGCACTATTCATCCTCCACTGGCGAATCCTCTGTCAGAGCTAGAAAAAGCAAGACAACACAGTCAATGATTGAAGCCAAGAGAGCAACATTGAGGTACAATGATTTTGACATACGTTACTGTATGCCTTGTAGAATGTTGCCAAGTGGCAGCTATGCACCACTTTTAAGATGGCTAACTAATGCTAGCACCAAAGGCCAGGCACAGACAGATATGAGTGAGTCTTCGCAATCCTTGCTTGATTGCAGAATGCTAACGTTAGCTTGCTGCCTGTGCACCCTGCAAAGTCAACTAATGCAAAAACTTAGCTACTGGTTAGCAATATGGGGCGCCTTCCAAACTGAACGATTTGAAAATACGACCATTTATATTGGCTAGCTTAGCTCAAACTTGAAGCTAAGCGATTTAGCTACACAATCAGGTGTCAAAATGACTAGGCAAAACATTAAATACAGAAACAAAGACCACATTTGATCACTCACCTATATTTAATTCACTCAATTTTCTTTTCTTAGCTAGCTAATATAAATTATGTTATTCTTCTGATGAGGACAGACAGATCCCTTCCCCGTTCCGCCATCTTGCAGACAGCTATAGACTGCTTCGGAAGTTCAACCCCCAATACCGGCTTTTCGAAGATTGACGGATCATGAGTCCATTCACCATTTAGTTCCAGGTGAGCACACCAATCAACAACCGACAAAGGCAGACCTTTCCCCGGGACGGAATACTGCCGGAATAAATAGACCAATCAAACATTAGAATAGATCACATTTGCCAAACTGAACGGTAGGCACAGTTGGGTTGAGAAGTGCAGTGGACGCTTACTGTCGATAGGTGGCAATCATCTTCACCAGTAACATTGTATGCAAAGTAGCTATCGGTGCATCAATTCAGATACTTTAGAATTGATGAACAAATTAGATATTTGTTTTGATGCATAATCAATACACTGATTAGATTACAACCCCGCTGTTTATAATCTGCATAAATACAATGTACAGACATAGCCATCGTGTTCACTGAAGAGCCAAAAGTCTGCGAGTTACATTTACATGACATTTACGTCATTTAGCAGAGCTCTTATCCAGAGCGACTTACAAATTGGTGCATAAATCACAATCAATATACTACACTGAACAAAAATATAAATGCAACATGATCCCATGTTTCATGAGCTGAAATAAAATATCCCAGAAAGAGTTTTGAGGGAGCATGTCATTGGCATGCTGACTGCAGGAATGTCCACCAGAGCTGTTGCCAGAGCCTTTAATGTTACTTTCTCTACCATAAGCCGCCTCCCACTTACTTTTAGGGCATTTGGCAGTACTTTCAACCGGCTTCACAACCGGAGACCACGAGTATGGCGACGTGTTGGCGAGCGGTTTGCTAATGTCAACATTGTGAACAGAGTGCCCCATGGTGGCGGTGGGGTTATGGTATGGTATTGTCCGTAGCATAAGCTATAGACAACGAACAATTGCATTTTATCGATGGCAATTTGAATGCACAAAAATACTGTAACGAGATCCAGAGGCCAATTGCAAAGCCCCCTTTTTTTTAAAAGGTATCTGTGACCAACAGATGCATATCTGTGAAATCCATAGATAGGGCTTAATTTATTTAAATTGACTAATATCCTCATATGAACTGTAAATCAGTAAAATCAATGAATTGTTGCATGTGCATTTATATTTTTGTTCAGTATATAAACATTAAAATTGCAATGATCACAGCATATTCAGCTACCAACCATACACCACATTGCTTTAATAAGCTTGTGATTGTCTAATAGAACTGGCTGATTAGAACACTGCTCAAAAAAATAAAGGGAACACTTAAACAACACATCCTAGATCTGAATGAATGAAATAATCTTATTAAATACTTTTTTCTTTACATAGTTGAATGTGCTGACAACAAAATCACACAAAAATTATAAATGGAAATCAAATATATCAACCCATGGAGGTCTGGATTTGGAGTCACCCTCAAAATTAAAGTGGAAAACCACACTACAGGCTGATCCAACTTTGATGTAATGTCCTTAAAACAAGTCAAAATTAGGCTCAGTAGTGTGTGTGGCCTCCACGTGCCTGTATGACCTCCCTACAACGCCTGGGCATGCTCCTGATGAGGACAGTCTGTTGTCCAACGTGGCGTTGGTGGATGGAGCGAGACATGATGTCCCAGATGTGCTCAATTGGATTCAGGTCTTTGGAACGGGCGGGCCAGTCCATAGCATCAATGCCTTCCTCTTGCAGGAACTGCTAACACACTCCAGCCACATGAGGTCTAGCATTGTCTTGCATTAGGAGGAACCCAGGGCCAACCGCACCAGCATATGGTCTCACAAGGGGTCTGAGGATCTCATCTCGGTACCTAATGGCAGTCAGGCTACCTCTGGCGAGCAGAGCTGTGCAGCCCCCCCAAAAATGCTACCCCACACCATGACTGACCCACCGCCAAACTGGTCATGCTGGAGGATGTTGCAGGCAGCAGAACGTTCTCCACGGCGTCTCCAGACTCTGTCACGTCTGTCACATGTGCTCAGTGTGAACCTGCTTTCATCTGTGAAGAGCACAGGGCGCCAGTGGCGAATTTGCCAATCTTGGTGTTCTCTGGCAATAGCCAAACGTCCTGCACGGTGTTGGGCTGTAAGCACAACCCCCACCTGTGGACGTCGGGCCCTCATACCACCCTCATGGAGTCTGTTTCTGACCGTTTGAGCTGACACATGCACATTTGTGGCCTGCTGGAGGTCATTTTGCAGGGCTCTGGCAGTGCCCCTCCTGCTCCTCCTTGCACAAAGGCGGAGGTAGCGGTCCTGCTGCTGGGTTGTTGCCCTCCTACGGCCTCCTCCACGTCTCCTGGTAGCGCCTCCATGCTCTGGACACTACGCTGACAGACACAGCAAACCTTCTTGCCACAGCACGCATTGATGTGCCATCCTGGATGAGCTGCACTACCTGAGCCACTTGTGTGGGTTGTAGACTCCGTCTCATGCTACCACTAGAGTGAAAGCACCGTCAGCATTCAAAAGTGACAAAAACATCAGCCAGGAAGCATAGGAACTGAGAAGTGGTCTGTGGTCACCACCTGCAGAACCACTTCTTTATTGGGGGTGTCTTGCTAATTGCCTATAATTTCCACCTGTTGTCTATTCCATTTGCACAACAGCATGTGAAATTTATTGTCAATCAGTGTTGCTTCTTAAGTGGACAGTTTGATTTCACAGAAGTGTGATTGACTTGGAGTTACATTGTATTGTTTAAGTGTTCCCTTTATTTTTTTGAGCAGTGTATATTCTTGAAAGAATACTATACATTTGCAATATAGATTGAGTCTACAATATAGATGAAAAAGTACTTTATTCACAACTTATATCAAGACCAGTGACATGGTAAACAGGGGTTTCTATACGTCTATGGATACCTGAGGTCAGTTACATAAAACCCAAAAACCAATGAAGGATCCTCATCAATGGTACACGTCAACACACATAACACTTGAAACAGTCATTCAAATTTGTGAGAGTAACTGACTGTTAAGCACGGAGAATACAGTGGGGGAAAAAAGTATTTAGTCAGTCAGCCACCAATTGTGCAAGTTCTCCCACTTAAAAAGATGAGAGGCCTGTAATTTTCATCATAGGTACACGTCAACTATGACAGACAAATTGAGATTTTTTTTCTTTCTATGAATTTATTTGCAAATTATGGTGGAAAATAAGTATTTGGTCACCTACAAACAAGCAAGATTACTGGCTCTCACAGACCTGTAACTTCTTCTTTAAGAGGCTCCTCTGTCCTCCACTCGTTACCTGTATTAATGGCACCTTTTTGAACTTGTTATCAGTATAAAAGTCACCTGTCCACAACCTCAAACAGTCACACTCCAAACTCCACTATGGCCAAGACCAAAGAGCTGTCAAAGGACACCAGAAACAAAATTGTAGACCTGCACCAGGCTGGGAAGACAATCTGCAATAGGTAAGCAGTTTGGTTTGAAGAAAATCAACTGTGGGAGCAATTATTAGGAAATGGAAGACATACAAGACCACTGATAATCTCCCTCGATCTGGGGCTCCACGCAAGATCTCGCCCGTGGGGTCAAAATGATCACAAGAACGGTGAGCAAAAATCCCAGAACCACACGGGGGGACCTAGTGAATGACCTGCAGAGAGCTGGGACCAAAGTAACAAAGCCTACCATCAGTAACACACTACGTCGCCAGGGACTCAAATACTGCAGTGCCAGACGTGTCCCCCTGCTTAAGCCAGTACATGTCCAGGCCCATCTGAAGTTTGCTAGAGTGCATTTGGATGATCCAGAAGAGGATTGGGAGAATGTCATATGGTCAGATGAAACCAAAATATAACTTTTTGGTAAAAACTCAACTCGTCGTGTTTGGAGGACAAAGAATGCTGTGTTGCATCCAAAGAACACCATACCTACTGTGAAGCATGGGGGTGGAAACATCATGCTTTGGGGCTGTTTTTCTGCAAAGGGACCAGGACGACTGATCCGTGTAAAGGAAAGAATGAATGGGGCCATGTATCGTGAGATTTTGAGTGAAAACCTCCTTCCATCAGCAAGGGCATTGAAGATGAAACGTGGCTGGGTCTTTCAGCATGACAATGATCCCAAACACACCGCCCGGGCAACGAAGGAGTGGCTTCGTAAGAAGCATTTCAAGGTCCTGGAGTGGCCTAGCCAGTCTCCAGATCTCAACCCCATAGAAAATCTTTGGAGGGAGTTGAAAGTCTGTGTTGCCCAGCGACAGCCCCAAAACATCACTGCTCTAGAGGAGATCTGCATGGAGGAATGGGCCAAAATACCAGCAACAGTGTGTGAAAACCTTGTGAAGACTTACAGAAAACGTTTGACCTGTGTCATTGCCAACAAAGGGTATATAAAAGTATTGAGAAACTTTTGTTATTGACCAAATACTTATTTTCCACCATAATTTGCAAATAAATTCATTAAAAATCCTACAATGTGATTTTCTGGATGTTTTTTTTCTCATTTTGTCTGTCATAGTTGACGTGTACCTATGATGAAAATTACAGGCCTCTCTCATCTTTTTAAGTGGGAGAACTTGCACAATTGGTGGCTGACTAAATACTTTTTTCCCCCACTGTAAGTGGGTAAGAACCACAGACAGAACACTGAAGGTGTGAGTGACAAAAAAGGAATCCTTTCAGTTATTTCACAGCAAGGCAATCTGTTTCTCCTATGCAGTATGTGGAATAAGGCGGAAAATATAAACGAAAAACACTTTGCTTACCATTTAGAAAATAAATTCAAGTGCTTTCCTCTGTGTTTTACTTTTAACTAGCAAATCTGGATCACGAAGTCAAAATCCGGGGCAATGATAATTATTATAGTACAAGGTAGGCTGTCGTAATATGCCTTCATAATTCTGTCACAGGAAAGTTACAACACATGAGATTAACATTTAGGAAACCAAACCTGTCATTCTTATGACAGCTTTTTATAAGGATGGTGATGGCTGCTGCTGCTTCTATGAGTTTTACCATTTTACACTCTTGAGATACAAACCAACTCGCCTAGAAGAAGGCAGTCTGAGGCACAAAGCCAGAAATGACTTATGATCAACCGTTTAGTTCTGGTCTTCCTCAGCAACAAAGCTGAGTAAATAGATAAAATGTCAAATGTAAATAATTTACTATTAGTTTGTTAAATTACATGTATTTCTTATTTGGCAATAAAATCACTTTAAGCACATAATTCAAAATAATATTTTAATGAGAATAGCAAGTTCTTTGATATAATTTAAGATAAAATAACACCCATAATGTATGATTTGATAAATTCACACACATATATGTCTAAGCCAAGCTAAAATATATTTCCCAAAGACAATTACTTGACAAATACAATCAATCTCATAATTTCACTGTCTCTCCTCTCCCACCACCATTTTAAATGGAAAAATGAAAATAAATCTTCAAGTTCATTCCACTACAGTGAAGCCAGAGCTTACTGTGGGAGAAGGATGGATAGGGAGGAGGAGGGATGCAGAAAGGCACAGAGTGTGATTCCCATATAGCCACATGTAGCCATCTTCAGTCCTTGAGTTTGAACTGGAAAGAGCTTGTGCTCCATTGGCTGATGTCACAGTTGAGCATGGTGCGCTCTGTGAAGGTCACGTTCCCTGATGCGTCTATGAGGATAATGGTGTTGGTCCTGAAACAGGCAGAGACACAAAACATCAGATAAATAAGAGGGGTGAAACGACAACAGAGGCTTATGCATTACAAATATGGAGAAAACACATATTGTGATGCTGGGGAAGAGCTCCCTAATCACCTTTCATTATCACACTACACTGGAGGCCAGGGGCATGCTGGTTATAGATGAGACTATATGCTTGAGGGACTGTATGATGTATGGGGCGTAATTATTACGCAGCAAACAGAGCTAAACGGACTGAAACAGAGGTACTAACTGGATTTGTCCAATAAGAAACTAATTTTCGTTGCAAAATGTCTGCCCTTTGCTACGATGCACACTAATGAAGACGACCATGGATTTGTCAAATAAGAACCAATTGTTTTAGTTTTCCTGGGTGCCTTATGAATATGTCCCTGCTCTTACACCCCACAAGCACAGCCCTCACCTCTGAGGGCAGGCCCCGCAAGACAGCTGGGAGAGCCAATTGGTGGGACTGGGAGCACAGAATTAAATAAGAACACTAGGTTGGACATTGGCAAGGTTTATCACATAGGCCACTCTGGTATTATATTGTATCTCTAGGACTCTGGCCTAGCTAATTGGTGTCATGGACTGGGAGACTCTGACCTTGTGCCGTAATGTGGGGATCGAACACACACGGAGGACAGGACCCGGAGCATGGGGCTGCTGTACCCTTCACCCTGGCTCTCCTGGGCCGGGTCAGGAGTGTTCCTGAAGAATAAAGACAGAAACCGTTCTCACTCAAACCTCCTCTGACTTTCACAGAGATTTGGAACAGAAAGGGGTGTACCTTCAGAAAAGACGGTTCTCAACTTCTCCCTCAAACCTCCTGACTTTTAAGAGTTTGGGATTGGAACCAATTGGAGAAAGTAAAACTATTTAGCACAACTTTAGTGTTACCAGTTGCATGGAGAAAAACAGAATATAAAGTTTTTACTGAACTGAAAGTTTCAAAATAAGTTATATAATAGGACATACGTTTCAGCACTACATGATGTTCATTGTGGAGCTGATAAACCTATTAGAGAGAAAGGTAGGTGCAGTCTGTTGAGAGCAAAAGTTCACTGACTAAAAGCTTTGCAATTAAGTCAACATAAAAGCGCAAGATTCCAGCAACAGCAGCATACTATTTTCCTAATTGCACATTCATGTAATGTGTGCAGGACTATACGTTCTCTTAGTCAAATAGTGTGTTCACGTTTGTTCCCCATGTAGCCATGTTGAATGTCCACCTGTGGTACTCGCAAACCAATAATGAGTAAGCATATTTATAGCCTTAGTAAATGTGCAGAAGTATTACCCTCAGACACATTTATATGTCCTTGTAAGTTACTCCCAAATATCTTACGAGCGTTAGTGAGTATGTATGCATATGTTTTAATGTATATTACGCCATGTCACATTGATTTCTCCTAAATGTAAACTAAACTACACAGTGTACAGGTATGTGTCTTCATGTGTAGTGTTTTGAGTGTGCATGTACATGTATTGATGAAGAATTTACTGTGTCACATTGACTGTATTATTGATAGCGAGTGTGTGGTGAACTCACAGTTCCTCGTTGTTGAGGATGTTGAGCAGGTCCTGGACCAGACTGTCACAGGGCAAGGGCTGGTTCACTACACCGGTGAACAGTCTCTTCCCATGCTCCAGCTTCCTCCACGGAGTCTCCAACAGGGAGTTACTCAAACCATAGATTCCTGCTGGAGCAGACACACAGCATTGCTAGAGAACAGAGATTCCTACAAAACGTGCATGTTATCCCCCAAAACGTGCACTTACATACAGAGGCTTATAGTCAAAATCCTGCATGCAAATAATTCCAAAGCATGGCTTGTATGGTGCAATTATATAATATAGTACAATTATATACACACACACACACACACACACACAAATAATAGTACATTAATGCAAAAGCAATTCCAAATTAAGAAATGCAGACCTGGATTTAGACGGATGGGTTCGGTGTTGCCTCTGTTTCCATAATAACACACAGTGTCTTCTTTGGCCCTGCATTGGACACCATGAGAGGAAATTAAAGATGCAAGTTTGTGACCGATTAAAAGTTCTGTTTAATTGTGAGGGTCATCCTAAATCATCCGTGGGTTCATACCTGAACAATGCTTTGTACAATTTGCTATTATTTTCTGCTCAACTTTGCTTAGCAGTGATTAATGGAGCCGCCGCATTTGTAAAGGCAATTGAAATGCCAGATAAAAACTAAACAATGGTAAATTGTAGCAATATTTTCCAATCAGATGAGGTGATTTAAAAAAAATGGTAGACTGTTGCAAATCGTCCTCCAGTCTAACTAACTAGACCTTGACTCTGTTTAGAGCTCTCCTGTCCCCTGTCCTGACTTAAAGAGATCCTACTTCTATTTGGAACACCTCTCCAACATGAAGGTCTTTTCAACTGCAGTACAGGAAACTGAATTAATGACAACCAAAACAAGTGTTGTAAGTGAATGAATTGCCTTGTCAGTTTCTGACAGCCATCAGTAGCATCATCAGTCAAATGTGTAGACTGGTGCAACACTGCATCAATATCTAACCTCCTGGTCCCCTGGTGGAGAACGTCTGGCCACTCCAGAATAGAATATATGCAGATACTTGCTATGGCTCTGATCTGTGGAGTCAGTGGCTAGGGTCAAAAGTTAGAAAACCGTCAAGACTGATGTTTGTTTCCATCCCCGAGATGAGCTTTTTCTAAAGAGTTATATGAGAATAGAGAAGATTACTCTCCTGGCATGAGATTGAGACTCGTTTGATAATAACATCTGCAAATAGCCGCAGACAGAGGGACTGACAAAATCAAACGTTTGACATGAGGGGTTCCGCTGTCCGCTAAATGCTTATCCCTTCCAATTAATTAGAAGCTAATTTGCCTGTCAGAGCTTGTAAATTTGTTTATGCCACAATAAGCAATTAAGCCGGGAAAAGAGTAGACCTTGCTCCTGTGCAAAGGGTATCTGTTTGTGTTACTGTTTCTCATCTGGTGTAAATGTCCTTGGGCAGAGGAATTTAAAAGGGCCGGTCAGTCAGTGTGCTAGTACAAAGGCTGTGGGAAAATGATGAAAGACATCTTATTAAAATGACACCATCTTCACACCAAACCAAAGGATATCAAAGTCTCTAGCTAATGAAAACCAGAATGATACAAACACTTTTGCCAAAGTAACAGATGGTAACTACAGTAATGTAACAGATGGTAACTACAGTAATGTAACAGATGGTAACTACAGTAATGACAGAAACCATTTTGTTACATATTGTCTTGTAGCTTCCTTCCATGGGTACAATATTTGCAGCTTCACTGCCTGATGATGACTCAGTTTTGATACTCTTCTTTACAAGTAACCCCTCTCTTGATGTGTATATAAAACTGCAACCCTACAGAGAGGTGGCCAAATGGTGCTTTGGGCTCATTGGGCTGGGGAGGGATGGAGCTATTTGGAGCTATTTGTGAAGATTACTCTCGGTCCCAACCCAGACAAACACTCTCATATACTGTTTGGACACATTGAGACCTAAGCTCAGTAGTCTCACCCAAAAGCACAATGGAAAGAGGTATTTCTGATATCCACACACTCTGGCAAGAATATCAAAACCTCATAATTTCTGCTGCATGGATATGTGAGCTGAGATGAGGAAACCACAGGAGGTGGCAGCTAGCACTGGGCAGCGTGAACAAACCAACGAAAAGAGAAAGTTCTGTGAAGCTTTAGAAACAGCACTTTGAAGATCTAGCTGGCCAGAATGATAATCCCCATTCAGGATAGTAGATGTTTTTAAATGGAATGCAGTCCATAATTCTGAAGTGTTTAAGTAGTGCCTTTTTTTTGCTCCTTGCTGCTGTGCCGAGCTGCCTGATGTTTTTGACATTGGTCGAATGAGCATTTAGAACCATCAGTGGGGTCGGGAAGTATCTTGGCGAGTCCGAGGGTAAACAATTTCTCTGATGCAGTTTTATGCATTTCATGATCAGCTAGAGGCCCAAGTTGAGCAACAGGGCTAAACGGCTGACTGAGAAAGACAGCAGCTCTAATCCCAACAGCAAGACCACCCATAGCAACATCTGATCTGACCATCACATCCTAGTTACTCTGTGAACAGTCATACCTAGTTCCTTTGTGAACAAAGAAAAGCCAGTCAACTTCAGCTGAGCCTGAGTCTTAAGGAAAGAGCCAGGGTCTTTAAAACGTAATGGAATCTCCCAGGTCAACTCAAATGGCCCGTATATAATCAGAATTCCATTACAACATCTTGGTAAATTAGACAGAGTAGCCTAGTAGCGGAAAGGTGAAGGGATGCAGAGCAGATGCTTTTTGAACACTGCCAATTTCCAAATATTATCCCAAACTAACATTTTCAGAGCCAAAATGAACTATTACTTCTTTTTTTAAGACATTTGGCTTTACACATGGGCACTGAAGTGCCATTCCATGCTCTAGATGCAGAGCTCAGCTAAGGGACTATAGGCCTTTTGCTATTACTGCTTTCTGTACATTTGTTTTGTGCTTTAGCCGAGGATAGGATACTGGCTTTGGGGGACACTAAGAGAATATTAAATGGACCATACACCACGGAAACCAGCCGAGGAATGATGCTACGATCTGATCTACTGCTGTTTTTCTTCTTAAAGGAAAAACAAAACGCCTGCCAAAAGCTACACCAGTTTCAGACCACGCTCACGACCCACTTTCTAAAAAGTGTTTGAGAATGTATACTTTAAACATATACTGAGTTCGGCTGGGTATTAGGAAGGCTCAGGGATGCTGGCATTGCATTGTGGGATGTCATGAGATGACAGTTAAGAGTCTGAGGGAGTCTTTGCTCCTGATTAAAGGGATAATCTTCTACCACCACACAGTCTTGAATGAATAAATATGAACAGATTGGATCAAAGTCAAAAGAAGCACTAGAAAAGTAAAAAGAAAAATAAGAGTGACATTATCGAGTGCTGCTTGGCTGTCAGTGCTAACAACATTACATTCAGGGCATTTGAGATAAAAGTTGAGATGATGCATTTGAAATATACATCTTTAGTGCCGCCAAGGCAAGGCTCAGTCAGATGGGAAACGAATGCATGCAAAGTCATTAACTGAATTGAAAGAATGCAAACCCATAGACGGAGCTATGGATTAGTAATCAAGGCAATATTGGTTTAACAAGCAACATAATTAAGGGAAGGCATCATATAAATCATGCCAATACAGACTTGAAGTTGAGAGATTAACATTTCTATTCAGTTGGGTGATAAATATACAAGTATACGCCTTTCCTATTACTGCATCCCCATGATGAGCATAAATATTATACAACAGGAAGAAATAGAGATTATGTTTAAAATGGCTGCCACACATCTTGTCCCACGTCGCCATTCAACCCCATATCACAAATCGTCACGTCATTGGTTAAGGATGGATGAGAAATCCACTAATTGTAATATAGGGCCTCCTCTGTAAGCAAGAGACAAGACAACTATCGTTTCAGAAAAAGAGCAGCCGCAGACAGACAGTATTTCCTCTGGGTTGTCTCTAACCAACACACATCACTGTTGTTTCACTGTGCAGAGGGGGGGAAAACTAATAGCTCTATAAATGAGCCTTTATTAAAAAGGTCTACATACAAATCCATTAGAGTCACAGCAGCTGCCATCCCTTGTCTGTTTTATTATGGTGTTGCGTACCGTGGCGTCCCATCTGGCAGTATCCATACATCTAGTTGTGGGTCTACAGGAGGCTCCATGGGCCCAGGCAGACAGCGGGATGGAGTGATTTCAGACGCAGATGATTGACCGGGCCAGAGCATACATCATCAAATAAACACATTGCTTGTTGCTCTCTCTCAGCTGACATCTCATGTTGTGTGGCGTGTACATTTGTAGTGGCAGTGATGTCTCCTTTCGATAAGTCTCTTACCGCAGGGGGCAGCAGCAGGAGTCATACAACATGGACATAACTCCTGGTCTTAATCAGGTCATTTGCATTCCTGAATAGCTTTGCTGTTACGACACAACAAACCACGACCTGTTGAGATCTACCTGCTATAATAAGCGCAATGCATTTAGAGAGTGGAGAGAAGCTTATAGGTGGGGAGAAAGGAACAATACCTGAAAACAATGGAGGCGGGGTTTAAAGGAGAGAGCTGCTCTCATGCCGTGCTGTTCCTGCCCTAGGCCATGTTAGCAGGATATATGGATCAGGACCACTCGTCCACAGGGAAAAAACTCTGCATCCCCCAGCAGGAAGTGGGAAAAGTTGTTCCTGAACACCCTGACCTCCAAAATGAGACCTAGAACCCTGTTGCCATGCCGATGGCATGTCTATAAAGCCCTGTTCATGACAGCTGTCTTAGTTTCCTCTAGTCTATGATGCAAGTCCATCAAATTAAATCCCACCTGTCTGCTGCAGAGAGTGAGAGAAAACAGAAAGGGAGGGGACAGTTCCCTAATTTTACTATTGTCTGGGTTCCCCTTTTCAAAAAAATCTCAGAGCTTTTGACTCACACTCATAAGCCAGGCTGGTAAAGGGGAAAAAAAATGAACAGGTGTTCTCTCAGAATTCTAATGATGGTCCCTTCAGCTCAAGGTTTATTCTGTTCTTCTGTGTGTGAAGATGGACAGGGAGACAGATCGATAGATTGCGAGAGAGCGCGTGAGAGAGAGAGAGAGAGAGAGAGAGAGAGCAGGTGGCTACAGCTCATGCCTTTTATTCAGTCTGATGGACCCTGGAGATAAGGCAATCATCCCTGCTTCATCCTCAGCCAGTCCCACAAGAGACCAGAACAGAGAGAACACATGGTTACAGAGACTTATTATACCCAATGTCAAATCCACTCCTAGACACATCATGGAGGTTTGAAAAGACAGACAAGTATAAGCAGTTTATAAATAGCTACATGTTAACGTCTGACAGGCTAGGTGGAAAATTCTCTGAGAACTATGTGCCTTGGGCTAGGGGTCGAATTGCATGTCTTGGCTGTACCTTAGGAAATGAAATAATTGAGACAGCATTGTCGATCAGAATCCTATAAGGTGGGCATTGAGGTGGGCTTTTTTTAATTTTTTTATTTTGATCGGTAAGGCAAAACCTCAGCGAAAATATTCATCAACCCATCCCATGTTCTCTAGTTTTGATCAGTCTGCCCAAACCCTTGACTCACTTGAACTCAGCTGTGAGGAGGTTGAAGCCGTTGTAGAGATGTCCCTCAGATGACACCCTCGTCAGGTAGGAGTAGCTGTCCTGGATCTGATCCGTCAGGAAGTTAGACACCAGGAACCCTTCAACACAAAGAATCAACGTTATTCTTACTTTTCAAACTAAATGCACACTTTCAGAGAGGTTGCAGACCAGTTAGGGAAGCCCAGGACCCCTACACATAGCAAGAGTAGACTTATCAGTAGGCTGCTTAGTTGGTTTCGTAACGCACACATTTAGTTATATCATCCAAGATCATCTAAACAACACTGCTTATTAAGCAAAATATGATGCAGTTATGTGGAGGATATTCGAGGTAAAATATGTAACATAGGTCGTGGACTGAGTGACATCGGAGATCTGTTTCCATGTTATGTAGCACTGTGGTGCGCTCAGCCTAACGCATCACCGGGGGCACGCTGCCTGTTCTCTATGACATCTACAGCACTCTGTGTTAAAGGATGGCCAAGAAGATCATTAAGGACCTCAGTCACCCGAGCCACAGACTGCTTACTCGGCTCCTGTCTATTTACGGTCAGTACAGGTGCAGCAGTGCCGAGACCGAGATACAAAAAAAAACAGCTTCTACTACCAGGCCATCAGACTGTTGAACAGCTTCTACTACCAGGCCAGCAGACTGTTGAACAGCTTATATTACCAGGCCAGCAGACTGTTGAACAGATTATATTACCAGGCCAGCAGACTGTTGAACAGCTTCTATTACCAGGCCAGCAGACTGTTGAACAGCTTCTATTACCAGGCCAGCAGACTGTTGAACAGCTTCTATTACCAGGCCAGCAGACTGTTGAAAAGCTTCTATTACCAGGCCAGCAGACTGTTGAACAGCTTCTATTACCAGGCCAGCAGACTGTTGAACAGCTTATATTACCAGGCCAGCAGACTGTTGAACAGCTTCTATTACCAGGCCAGCAGACTGTTGAACAGCTTCTATTACCAGGCCAGCAGACTGTTGAACAGCCATCACTAGCCGTCTCCCATGTGACGCACACTCACACAAAAAACACAAGCTATGACACACACCTCATACTCACAAACATACACACTCACAATCCAACGCTGCTGTCCCACGTCAGAGACATTGAACCACTTGACACTTCCTGTTTCACACAGAGTATTTCAATACTGTATTCCCAACATAGCTCATTTTAATATTTATACTAATGTACTTTGTATTTACATAGTTACACTGTTTATACACACCGCATATTTAGTTTAGTACTGTGTATTTATATACTGGATTCTTGACATAGCTCACTCCAATATATCTACTGCTGTACATATCTTTCTTAGTATATCTTGTGTAAATTCTTCTGGTGTAGATACTTATAGATTGCATTTGGATTACTGTTACAGTGCTATTTGGGCTGTTAATTGGATTCACCCCGATGTTCTTGTTTCTTGTTTTTATCTGTACTTCATTTATTAAAAATTATTGTGTGTACTTGTTTGACATTTTACTGCATTGTTAGGAGCTAGTAACATAAGCATTTCACTGCACCCACTATAACATCTGCTAAACTGTGACCAATAAACGTTGATTTGATTTGTTAGGTGTTAGGAGGACAGGCTGCTCCCCAAGTGGGGGGACCTGCACTACAGCGGTTAAGTGTGTCAGGAAAAACGCCTGACATTTGGCCTTAAAGAAAATAAACAAATTAGAAAGCTGCTATTACACAAAGAGGTGTTTCCCTCAGGGGGCTGAGCATCTGCAGTGCGGACAGCTGTGTTACGAAACGACAGTGGAGAGCTACTGGAGAACACACGAGGAGAGGGAGGCTAACTGACACTACTATTCCCTTACTGTGGTTCTAATGCTAGTGAATGAATCCTTAAAAAGGCAGTTGACCATACCAGTTTCACGTTAGCGTTGGCTTTCTAGGAATAAAGCTTTACGAGGAATGAAATATTAAAAACACGAATGTCTGTTAAAGACGCATGCACATATCAGACTATTCAGTGGACATTCTCTTCCTGATTGGTCCTCACCTCTTCCTTGTGCGTCTGGATTGGGCCTTCCCTCCAGGTAATTGGTCAGTGCGGCCAGCTTGCCCCTCTTGTTGATCCCCAGCCATGACCCTCCTTCCTTCCCCTCCTCCAGGTCTAGCCCTGACAACACACAACAACCACATCACACTCCACGTCATCACATAACTCCCACATGAATCTTCTTCACATTTTAACACCTCCATGACTGAAAATAGAACAACAGGTGTAACTGACTAGTGAGATTGAATGCTACACTGCATTCGGAAAGTATTCACATTTTGCTAAGTTACAGCCTTACTTTGAAACAGATTAAATCGTGTTTTTCCTCATCAGTCTACACACAATACCCCATAATGACAAAGCAAAAACAGGTTTTTAGAAATTGTTGCAAATTTATAAAAACATTTAACTGAAATATCACATTTACAGAAGTATTCAGACCCTTTACTCAGTACTTTGTTGAAGCACCTTTGGCAACGATTACAGCCTCAAGTGTTCTTGGGTATGACGCTAGAAGCTTAGCACACCTGTATTTGGGGAGTTTCTCCCATTCTTCTCTGCAGATCCTCTCAAGCTCTGCCAGGTTGTATGGGGAGCGTCGCTGCACAGCTATTTACAGGTCTCTCCAGAGATGTTCGATCGGGTTCAAGTCCGGGCTCTGGGATGGGTCACTCAAGGACATTCAGAGACTTGTCCCGAAGCCACTCCTGCGTTGTCTTGGCTGTGTGCTTAGGGTCGCTGTCCTGTTGGAAGGTGAACCTTCGCCCCAATCTGAGGTCCTGAGTGCTCTGGAGCAGGTTTTCATCAAGGATCTCTCTGTACTTTGCTCCATTCATCTTTCCCTCAAACCTGACTCCCAGTCCCTGCCGCTGAAAAACATCCCCACAGCATGATGCTGCCACCACCATGCTTCACCGTAGGGATGGTGCCTCGTTTCCTCCAGACGTGATGCTTGGCATTCAGGCCAAAGAGTTCAATCTTGGTTTCATCAGACCAGAGAATCTTGTTTCTGATTGTCTGAGAGTCCTTTAGGTGTCTTTTGGCAAACTCCAAGTGGGCTGTCATGTGCCTTTTACTGAGGAGTGGCTTCCGTCTGGCCACTCTACCATAAAGGTCTGATTGGTGGAGTGCTGCAGAGATGGTTGTCCTTCTGGAAGGTTCTCCCATCTCAACAGAGGAACTCTGGAGCTCTGTCAGAGTGACCATCGGGTTCTTGGTCACCTCCCTGACAAAGGACCTTCTCCCCCGAATTGGCCGGGCAGCCAGCTCTAGGAAGGGTCTTGATTCCAAACTTCTTCCATTTAAGAATGATGGAGACCACTGTGTTCTTGGGGACCTTCAATGCTGCAGAACATTTTTGGTACCTTCCCCAGATCTGTGCCTCGACACAATCTTGTCTCGTAGCTCTACGGACAATTCCTTCGACCTCATGGCTTGGTTTTTGCTCTGACATGCACTGTCAACTGTGGGACCTTATATAGACAGGTGTGTGCCTTTCCAAATCATGCCCAATCAATTAAATTTACCACAGGTGTACTCCAATCAAGTTGTACAAACATCTCAAGGATGATCAATGGAAACAGGATGCACCTGAGCTCAATTTCGAGTTTCATAGCAAAGGGTCTGAATACCTATGTAAATAAGGTATTTCTGTTTTTTTATTTGTAATAAATTTGCAAACATTTACAAACCAGTTTTTTCTTCGTCATTATGGGGTATTGTCTGTAGGTTGATGAGGGAAAGAAATATTGAATCAATTTTAGAATAAGGCTGTAACGTAACAAAATGTGGAAAATGGGAAGGGGTCTGAATACTTGTATCAATAATGGCGATCACGTACTGCTGACAATAATGCTGCAGGTCTACCCTTAAGACAAGAGATTAGTTGATTAATGATAATAAGTTATTCTTTCTAGAAGAAGCAAATCAAGGACAAATGTTTCGCCCTCCTCCAAGCCATCACTGATTGCTTAGTTTAACTTCTCTCCAAGTTACAGGGGAAAATAAATGCAAAAACATTCAAGCCAGAGGTGATTTTGTACTTTATTTAAATCAAGTTAAGGCTGAGCAGTGGGTTTCTGATAAGCAGACAGACAGACAGACAGATAGATAGACAGACAGGCCTCTGCCTTGCATTCATTATCATGGGAGCCTGGCTGATCATTAGAATGTAGAGCACGGAACTCTGAAAACGCTGAATAGATTAATCTACTCATACATTCTGTTTGTCTGGACGTGGAGTGAGGTGATACCCTTACACAGGGAATAAGAAAATCAGTATAGCGTTAAGAGGAATATAGATTGTTTTACTACAGCTGGTGTGATTTGCTAGTCTCTTGCCGTTTTGACCTTGTATTGTACTTGGAGAAAATGAACCTGCTACAGTATGAATACCAAGTTATTGATACTGTACAAGAACTTGAATAAACTTAGAGGCAAAGAGCCATACGACACAGGCTGTTAATCTTGACCTAAAATGTCACTTACGACTACAAATCACTTATCTCACACTGAGATGTGTGTTTCTATGAGAGACAAGGTAACTAAGGGAAGCATGTACAGAGGCAGGATGGTACACTATACATACAAAAGTATGTGGATACCCCTTCAAATGAGTGGATTCGGCTATTTCAGCCGCACCCGTTGCTGACAGGTGTATAAAATCGAGCACACAGCCATGCAATCCCCATAGACAAACATTGGCAGTAGAATGGCCTTACTGAAGAGCTCAGTGACTTTCAACATGGCACCGTAATAGGATGCCACCTTTCCAACAAGTCAGTTCTGCCCTGCTAGAGCTGCCTCGGTCAACTGTAAGTGCTTTTATTGTGAAGTGGAAACGTCTAGGAGCAACAACGGCTCGGCCGTAAAGTGGTAGGCCACACAAACGCACAGAACGGGACCACCAAGTGCTTAAGTGCGTAGCGCGTAAAAATCTTCTGTCCTCGGTTGCAATACTCACTACAGAGTTCCAAACTGCCTCTGGAAGCAACGTCAGCACAAAAACTGTTCATCGGGAGCTACATGAAATGGGTCTCCATGGCTGAGCAGCCGCACACAAGCCTAAGATCACGATGTGCAATGCCAAGCGTCGGCTGGAGTGGTGTAAAGCTCGCCGCCATTGGACTCTGGAGCAGTGGAAACTTGTTCTCTGGAGTGATGAATCACGCTTCACCATCTCGCAGTCCGACGGACTAATCTGGTTTTGGCGGATGCCAGGAGAACGCTACCTGCCCCAATGCATAGTGCCAACCAGGGGCGGTGTGTTCATTAGGGCGATATGGGCGACGCACTGCCAAACGGGAAAAGGAAGGGATTTTTTTTCTAATCAATTATATCACGGCAACAGTAGTTATCAGTGTTCTAATCTAGACGTCTGATCTGCCACTAAATGTCCAATCAGGCTAAAGTCGTGCTTCAAATGGCCCCGCCCCTTTTGGGGCGATTTCAGTCAGGTTGAAAATCGCCCCAGAAGTCTGTCATAGCCTTTCATGTAAAATCTTTTTTTTTTCAAATATCAGAGCTTTCAATACAATCTCTATGGGTTTCTGAGGGCTTGCACTTACGCGCTTTCGTCATACGTAACATAACCATGAACGTAACTAAGAAAAGAGCGGGTAGCAGCGTCAATCAATTCACATACTACTATCAAAAGATGGCTAGCGTTCAGTGCAACTCGATTGTCTCTTTGAAAGAAGTTCACATCAAAGACCATTCAAAACGAGCTACTGGAGTGTATGCTAGCGGTCATGAGGGAACATATTGTGGAGGAGGTGAAGTCGGCGAACTTCGTAGCTATCCAAGCTGACGAGACCACGGACGTTTCTACACAGACACAGCTGGTGCTTGTGCTGAGGTACATAGATAGCAACCACAAAGAGCAGGAGCGCTTTTTTGAGTTCCTTCCCATCTCGGAATCAACCTCAGTCTCAATCGCCAGTGTGCTTTTGGAGAGACTGAACGGTCTTTTTGCCGACGACGAGAAAGTCAAACTGTGGTGCACTGGCACTGTACCAGGTTCTCATGAGCTACAACCTCCAGGAGACGTTCTCTGAGACTGTGACTCTGTTGAACATCCTCATAACTACTCCCATGACAACAGCTGAAGCTGAGAGATGTTTCTCAACTTTGACACGAGTTAAGACATTCCTGCGAAATTCAATGGGCCAGGAACGTCTGAATGCACTGGCCATGCTTTCCATGGAGAGGGAACTAGTCCTCAGCATGCCTGATTTCAATGAGAAAGTAATTGACCGCTTTTCTGCATTGAAAGAGAGAAGAGAACAGTTTCAGTACAAGTAATGTAGCCTCTCTCTCTCTTTGTCCCTCCCTGTCTGTCTCTTTAACACACACACGCCCAAATCAGTTCACAGTTGATGTTGTTTAAAATAGTTATTTTTCATTTAAAAAAAAGGTTTAAAAAAAATAATCTGTTCATGTTCATTTTTACAAATCTATACAATTGGCCAGAATATGGTTGTTCATATTTACAAATCTATACAATTGGCCAGAATATGGTTGTTCATTTTTACAAAGCCATACAGATAGCTGTGTTTACCTTTTCTAGAAATTATTTTCAAATTCTGTTTTCAGGCAAAATGTCTATCACTGTTCATTTTCACAAATCTATACAAGAGGGCAGAATATGGAAGTCTATAAAAATTTCTTATTACCAATAACTTGCATCAATGTTTTCAGTAGCCTCTATCAAAAGCTCCTGCTTGCTTGTTGTGAATTATGCTCAGGTGCACATATTTCCAATTCAACCATGAGGCAAAAAATGTGGTAAAAGCTCTTGTTGATCCTGCAATCTGAACAAATACCAAGATGCTGTATTTTCAGCTGATATTTCATTTGTTTATGGAAATGCATATTGTTTATGCAGTGTTGAGGAATGTGAAAGAACACCCTTGATTATTTTTACTGTGATAACTTATTTTGCTTTTGTAAGCCAACACTTTTGAGATCAGTCAATAAATGCTTCTGGCATTGACTTATATGCTGCCCCTGTCTTCATGTTGTTGCTGGACATATATTTTTTAAAATGTGTGTAGGTCACCTAAATCATCAGAAAAATTGCCCCCCCTGAGAATTTTTTCAGGAGCCGCCACTGGTGCCAACTGTAAAGTTTGGTGGAGGAGGAATAATGGTCTGGGGCTGTTTTTCATGGTTTGGGCGAGGCCCCTTAGTTCCAGTGAAGGGAAATCTTAACCCTACAGCATACAATCACATTCTAGACGATTCTGTGCTTCCAACTTTGTGGCAACAGTTTGGGGAAGGCCCTTTCCTGTTCAGCATGACAATGCCCCCGTGCATAAAGCGAGGTCCATAGAGAAATGTTTGTCGAGATCGGTGTGGAAGAACTTGACTGGCCTGCACAGAGCCCTGAACTCAACCCCATCGAACACCTTTGGGATGAATTGGAACGCAGACTGCGAGCCAGGCCTAATCGCCAAACATCAGTTCCCGACCTCACTAATGCGCTTGTGGCTGAATGGAAGGAAGTCCCCGCAGCAATGTTCCAACATCTAGTGGAAAGCCTTCCCAGAAGAATGGAGGTTGTTGTAGCAGCAAATGGGGGACCAACTCCATATTAATGCCCATGACTTTGGAATGAGATGTTCGACGAGCAGGTGTCCACATACACTACATGACTAAAAGTAAGTCTACACTTCCACATGATCAATATGGGTCCACTGAGACAGCCAGGGAACAGAGGAGAGGAGAGCCATGGCCTGAAGCCCCTGGGGACGGGTAGAGAGGGAGCTGGAGGAACCCCAGAGCTTACTCCCCTAGAGTGGGATTAGAGCAGACAAACATGAAGACAGCCAGTGCCACTATGCATGCATTGTTCTTGAAAAAGGTTTTAGAAGTCACTCAGTTCTGTGAGGCAAAATATGAATTAAAATGGCAATGAACATTGATAAATGTTTTAACTGTAAGATCACACTACGATGGTTGTGTGGACAAACATCCACATGCTGCATAATCCATCAACTTCCAGAGTCCTACCACCGTCCCTCCACAGCAGATCAGAGCCCTACTACCGTCCCTCCGCTCCCACACCAGATCTGAGCCCTACCACCGTCCCTCCGCTCCCACACCAGATCTGAGCCCTACCACCGTCCCTCCGCTCCCACACCAGATCTGAGCCCTACCACCGTCCCTCCGCTCCCACACCAGATCTGAGCCCTACCACCGTCCCTCCGCCCCCACACCAGATCTGAGCCCTACCACCGTCCCTCCGCCCCCACACCAGATCTGAGCCCTACCACCGTCCCTCCGCTCCCACACCAGATCTGAGCCCTACCACCGTCCCTCCGCTCCCACACCAGATCTGAGCCCTACCACCGTCCCTCCGCTCCCACACCAGATCTGAGCCCTACCACCGTCCCTCCGCTCCCACACCAGATCTGAGCCCTACCACCGTCCCTCCGCTCCCACACCAGATCTGAGCCCTACCACTGTCCCTCCGCCCCCACACCAGATCTGAGCCCTACCACCGTCCCTCCGCTCCCACACCAGATCTGAGCCCTACCACTGTCCCTCTGCCCCCACACCAGATCTGAGCCCTACCACCGTCCCTCCGCCCCCACACCAGATCTGAGCCCTACCACCGTCCCTCTGCCCCCACACCAGATCTGAGCCCTACCACTGTCCCTCCGCCCCCACACCAGATCTGAGCCCTACCACCATCCCTCCGCCCCCACACCAGATCAGAGCCCTACCACCAACCCTCCCCTCCCATCCCAGATCAGAGCCCTACCACTGTCCCTCAACACCAGATCAGAGCCCTACCACCACCCCTCCACCCCCAGCACTACATAAGAGCCTTACCGGCCACACTTATTCATTTCTGCCACGCCACATAAAAGCAGCCATCAATTAAATGGCTGCTACTGGAGTCTGACCCCCCGATTACAGAGGGAAAGGAGAAGGATGAACAAGTCAGGACATTTCTCTGTGACGGGAAGAAGGATGATTGATTTCCTAGCTGGGCTGTATTGTGTATCTGACGGAGACATCAGTCAATTAAAGGTAGTTTACTGCAGGGTCCAGGAATGCCCTGCGCCTGTACGGTACAAGGTGACTCAAAGGCAATGGGAAGAAAGGCAATGGGAAGAGACAAGTCAATGAATTTCAAAAGATTTAACAGTAAGTAACTAACCTTGAATAAAACTAATACAATTATGAGGACTCAATCCCAGGCCAACATAAAACCTCACGCGCAGGCCCGCATTTCCAAACCTATACCCTAATCCCTCGCAAACCGAAATTACTGGAACTCCAACAGTGCCACTCTAGATTTCTAGGGGAAATAAACTCATAGCCTGTGTTATGACAAAATAAGTACTTGACTCAGAAATGTGAAAATACTATAAAGAGGTTGTTGAACAAAACAACTTCCTAGTCTTTAGTGAGGAGAGGGAGAGGAAATTAAAGGAATCACTCAGAAACAGAGAAGAAGCAATGCCCTTGCTCCATGACCGGACACTCATTCTAATTCTACTTCTTAGCCTTCCACCCGTTTTTTTTTTTTTAAACAGTTTTAACTCAAGGAGATGCCTTTGTTCTCCCAGTCAATATGCCGTAGCAGGGCTATGCTCTTAATAAAGAATGGAATGAATCATTGGGAAGCTCAGCGCATTAAATTCCTCTCAGAATTGGTCTGTTGACAAAGAATCCAATATCTGGCTCATGAACGCATTCTAGCTGAGCTGAAACGGGTTGTGGTGAAATAAAGGCTCTCAGAGTAGGGAGAACGGGAAACAGAGGGTAGTCCTCTCCAGAACGATTTCTATCACCAGTGTTTTTCTGCCACTTCAACGTCAAGTGCAGATACTTACCGCTGAGGATTTCGCTGTTGCTCGCCCAAAAGTCTGCAGCTTTGGTTGGCCTGTTGTAGAACTCATCTCTGTTTGCAGCCAAAATTAGCCTGAGGGGAAAAGAGAAAGAGAGAGAAATAGAGTTACGAGGGAGACCATGGTAGACCACTTAAGGTAATGTTCTTTAATGCCATAACCTAGTGGTGGTATCCATCTTGACATTCTCCAGGTCTCATGTCTTTAAATCGAAGAGACTGAGCCCTGGGAGTGTGTGTCTGTTGCCCTAATGGCACCCATTTAGTGCACTACTTTTGACCAGGGCCCATGTAAAAGTGGTGAATTATGAAGGGAATAGGGTGCCATTTGGGAAGCAGCCTGTGTCCTCATTTGCCAGGCTGCATTCTGCACCCATGAGTGAATAAGTGTGAGAGAGAAATGCCGTGCTGTGCCGTGTAGCAGACCTAACTGAGCTGAGCTCCTGACTGAGGTTGCATGTTCCCTAATTGTCTGTGTGTGCACTATTCCTCCCCTCAGGACACAGTAAAGTTCCGCTCTGCAGCCCGGGTCCCCATCAGCAGGAGAAAGCTGCTGTGCTGTCACTATCCAACATCATGGATGCCTCCCAAATGGAACCTTATTCCCTATATAGTGCACTACTTTTGACCAGGGCACATAGGACTGTGGTCAGAAGTAGTGCACTATATAGGGAATATAGTGTCATTTGGGATGTAACCCATTCCTCTGCCTCTCCATGTACCTCGATTACCTTACCGCAACAACATTACAACCCCTGCTGACTTTCTCCACCCACCTTGGACTGCTGCAGAGCACATAGATCACTAAGAGATGGGTTTTTTCAGGCCCCACACCACTGCAAACATCACATCAAATCCATAATACAAAAGCGACAAAGAATCTAAAATGCTCTACCTTCAGAGGTCCAAAAGGACCATGTCAGCGCGAGGCTGAGGCTACTGAAGGCCAGTATCAGATTGATCCAGTGGACGGCTGGAGAATAAGGCCTCAAACACAGCTATATCGTTTGCCTGCAGAGAGTTACTTGCGAACCGAGTGAAAACGTAGAATCGCATAATTTTTTTTTGCAGTCGGACGACAACAGTGCACTGAACAATCAGTAGACGAACGGGAGATCCACATTCGGTGCGATGTGTGCGACCCTTAAATGTGCTGCCTTCCCCTGACAGCCCTCTAGAGCCAAATCACCTCCAGTGGCAGCTCTCTCAGACATCAGACTAACATTGACAACATAAATTATTACGACTAGTCTTTGGCCACAGAATTCACTTCCCAATCAGACCAACGTTTGGACAATGACGTTAGGGATTAGGCTATGCCAAGTCCTTGGCTACATAAAATCACCCCTTACATTCAGGCAGGACTGTAGGGGGAGAAAGAATGACATGATAACCCACGCCTCCTCTCTCCCATATCAGCCCTCTTACACAATCAGCTGACCAGTTCTCCATTCCAGAGACTCGACCAACAGTAGCTCATTAAGAGCATGAATTGGCGTATAGCCTTGAATTGATTCCCGATGCCAGTGACATCTGGCGTTTTAATCCCCTGACTATGCTGCAGTCTCGCGGTTTTCGTCAAGGTAGTGGAGCCTGCCAGCAAGCCTTCAACCAAAGCGTCTCCAATAGAGAGAGAAAGATATGGAAGAATGGGTGGGGAGAACACCTGTCAGACAGCACACATAGGAGAAAGGAGCTCTGTGAATATAAACATAAGCATTTCTACAATCCTAAACTTGAAATGAAATAACCTAGTGCAGTCCAGTACTTTAACTGAAACCTAGGCCTATAGTGAGCCAGCACCATTACAACTTACTGCCATTTTCAGTAGTTATCCCATAACAAATGGGACTTAAATGTGCCACTCACCACACTAACAGACTATCACTGTTGATGCTAATGCTGCGTTTGACATTAATCTCTGGTGACTTTTTACTAACGCTGCACAACTGTCATTTATTTAGCAAGGCAACAGTGCATGACTTAGTGACTGCACATTACTGTTTAGCTACTGTCCCATGAATCACCCGCTAGCCTTGCACGCACACACAGCCGCACAAACACGATTGTGGGGTTTCTGAGGCAGCAGAAGCTGCCATAGATATGTGGATTTGGGTGAGAGGTGGCCTTGCACAGTGGGGCCTGTGGGCCCATTGTGAGTGATTTGAGGTTTGTACGCACACTTGAATTAAAGGGTATCTAAAAAATTTTTTACAAATTCCCAGACTTCAAGTAGTCTCAGCATTGTTGTGGAGAACAAAATTGGATGTTCTATTAAAAAGTGTGATTTTGAGAGTGAAAACATGAACCATGCCATGGTATTGTTTCGGTATACAGTAGTGATACTAAACCTGGTATTGTAAGAATTCTGGTATCGTGACAACAGTAGTTTGTAGAAGTAGCCTATATTGAATGTTGCAGGGGCCGTTAAGTTAAAAAACTGTTGCCGATTTCTCGCCAAACATATTTATTGTGCTGGCTCTACAAGACGTGGGCTCAATTTATGTATACAAAATGTGTGGGCCTATAATATAACATATAGTTCTAACAGTATCTAACCTGAGATAGGCCTAACAGCAATATCCAGTCAGGTATTGTGGACTTGATCGTGGACTTCAGGAAACAACAGAGGGAGTACCCCCCTATCCACATCGACGGGACAGCAGTGGAGAAGGTGGAAGGTTTTAAGTTCCTCGGCGTACATATCACTAACAAACTGAAATGGTTCACCCACACAGATAGCATGGTGAAGAAGGTGCAACTGCGTCACTTCAACCTCAGGAGGCTGAAGAAATGTAAAACCCTCAAACTTTTACAGACGCACAATTGAGAGCATCCTGTCGGGCTATATCACCGCCTGGTACGGCAACTGAGAGGGTGGTGCGGTCTGCACAATGCATCACCTTTGGCAAACTACCTGCCCTCCAGGACACCTACAGCACCCGATGTCACAGGAAGGCCAAAAAGATCATCAAGGACAACTACCACCCAAGCCACTGCCTGTTCACCCCGCTATCATCCAGAAGGCGAGGTCAGTACAGGTGCATCAAAGCTGGGACCGAGAGACTGAAAAACAGCTTCTATCAAGGCCATCAGACTGTTAAACAGCCATCACTAGCACAGAGAGGCTGCTGCCTACATAAAGACTTGAAAATCACTGGCCACTTTAATAAATGGAACACTAGTCACTTTAATAATGTCACTTTAATAATGTTTACATATCTTGCATTACCCATCTCATATGTATATACTGTATTCTATACTATCTATTGCATCTTAGCCTATGCCACTCTGACAATGACATTGCTCATCCATATATTTATATATTCTTATTCCATTCCTTAGATTTGTGTGTATTAGGTATTTGTTGTGGAACTGTTAGATATTACTTGCTAGATATTGCTGCACTGTCGGAACTAGAAGCACAAGCATTTCGCTACACTCACAATAACATCTGCTAACCATGTGTATGTGACCAATTCATTTGATTTGATTTTTAATGCACAAACAGTCAAGTAAACAGTCAACCTAGAATATTCCATGTAGTCTACATTTTATAATTGCATCCTCTGTTGAAAATTCTGCTAGTACACACTGTTCCCAGATAATGATGTGCGTTCCAAGTGGTGCATCGCCATTACGCGTTCATGATCAATTAGACACACAGAACACGCATGTTTGTCTTTTCACCCACGTCCCTTTTCGAAGCCAACTACCTGAGACGTATTGGTTGTAATGCCGGTGTCACAGGTCAAAGTGATGAGGATTAAATAGTTCCACTGAGAGGCGTTTATTCGTGGTGCACGGTTATGGAAGAGAGATTAGGCCACTGAACTATGATGACCTCCGCAATAATTGTATTTTGCCAGCGGCTCCCAATCCCATGAATCTTGTTCAGAGGGAGGTGGATTTCTTTAAGAACAAATAAAGCAAAGCGACCTAATTGGGGTCAACCTCTGTACATCAAAGGCTCATGATGCAAAAGCTGGTTGCAGTGACACTGTCCCAGAAACAAAGCAAACACTAATGATTTTACACAGGAGAGAGCAGAGCATCCATCTGTTTATCTGAGCCTGTGGGAATCACTAGGAGAGAAACAACCAGAAAACTAACAGGGCCCAGCTATGCAGAGAGAGTGCCATTTTAGAGAATGATACAATTTCGTTGTCATTTACTCCTGACTTAAAAAATAAATACTATATTTGAGACAAGGTCAATGGAAAGGCTAATATTTCAGCAAGATACATTCCATTCATGAAAGTTATGCTCCTGTATTGCAAGGGAAAGTACTAATAATTTGATGGCGAAGCAATACATAGGCATAATGGGAATTCAGAACATAACATTGTTGGCAGGCAGGGATGTTGGCAGTATTTGGGTGCATGGAGGAAAACTAGTTACACAAGAGATTAATTTAGCATTCTTGTAGTTATTTTGCCATTCCGCTCACTGACATAACGTAGGCCTACATGCACTCAATTCAACCACAGTGAGGATGCTAGCTAGGCCTATAGGTTACACGTATCCCATTGGTCCAGAGTGAGTCATTGCTCACACACATCCACTGTGATCGCCTTAGGCTAGTGCAATCTCCCAGAGGCAAAGGCAGAGATAGACCCTGGCCAGGTAGAGAGAGCGCTCCACAGAGCCCAGGGGATTATTACAAGCAGGGCTTTAAATTGCATTGACTGCTCCTCTACCACTGGCGTCTGCCCACAAAGGACCTTCACTGAGAGAAATCAGCAGTGACTGTAGGAAAGGTTAGCGGATGGTACCTGGTGTTTCACTGTGCTTTGCTTGGGAGGCTTTGAATTAGCCTGGATCCAAACTGAAATGTTCAGTTTAATTGAAATGGAGCAATTCAGTTTGGATGCTGCATGGCTTTTCATACATCCAGTGAGAGACGGCACCACAGATTATCTCGGGTTCTTATCACTGCTTTGGGTGCTTAATTAGATAGGCTAGTGCTGAAGTGTAGCAACTCCAAACGCATCTTTGAGGGACACAGGGAAAATATAAAAACGCAACATGCAACAATTTCAAAGATTATTTTGAGTTACAGTTCATATGAGGAAATCAGTCAATTGAAATAAATAAATTAGGCCCTAATGTATGGATTTCACATGACTGGGAATATAGATATGAGTCTGTTGGTCACAGAAACTTTAAAAACAAAATGGGCCTCGCAATGGGCCTCAGGATCTCATCACTGTATTTCTGTGCATTCAAAATCCATCGATAAAATGTAATTGTTCGTTGTCCGTAGCTTATGCCTGCCCGTACCATAACCCCACCACGGGGCACTCTGTTGACATCAGCAAACCGCTCACCCACAGATCACCATACACGTGATCTGCAGTTGTGAGGCCGGTTGGACGTACTGCCAAATTATCTTGAAAGACGTTGGAGGCGATTTATGGTAGAGAAATGAACATTAAATTATCTGGCAACAGCCCTGTTGGACATTCCTGCAGTCAGCATGCCAATTGCACGCTCCCTCAAAACATCTGTGGCATTGTGTTTTGTGACAAAACTGCACATTTTAGATTGGCCTTTTATTGTCCCCAGCACAAGGTGCACCTGCGTAATGATAATGCTGTTTTATCAGCTTCTTGATATGCCACTCTTGTCAGGTGGATGGATTATCTTGGCAAAGGATAAATGCTGACTAACAAGGATGTAAACAAATATGTGCCAACATTTGAGAGAAATAAGCTTTTTGGGAGTATGGCAAATTTCTGGGATCTTTTATTTCAGCTCATGAAACATGGGACCAACACTTTACATGTTGCGTTTATATTTTTGTTCAGAATATATCAGGAGATGAGAAGAATGTCCCCTGCGTCAAACTCAATGATGCTCCGATTCCTTTTTAAGATTCAGATTTGTTCAACATCTGGAAGTGTGCATCTTTTTAAACCATCATCTGAATATAGGCCTCCAGTTGACGTAAAATGAGAGCCGTCCAGACTAAGCTATACTAGGCTATATGAAAAGTGTGGTAATAGTACACAGACGGGAGGAGAGGCCTTACCTGTAGGCATTTTTGGATGCAGGCCGAGGGTCAAACTTAAAGAAGATGATACACATGGGGGTGTTAGTGGTTGGGGATGCTCTCTCACACTGGGAACAGTAACTTTCAAAGCTTGGACATGTTGACAAGGGCTGGAAGAAAATGATAGTAAAGTGAGTAAAGGAGAAGGGTGGTCTTGAGTAAAGGAGAAGGGTGGTCTTGACCTCCCAAGACCACCCTACACTATAGCATGGCCTAGGTTCAATTTACAAAGGAGACAAACCACCTAAATCATACAGGACTGTCCAGGTAGCAATTTCACCTGCCACAGCTGTGCCAAGCCCCTAACCTTATCCAAACGGTAGCCTAATACTGATTGAAATACCTATTCAATACAGGACAGCAATATTGTTGACAAACCCTCATGTGTCCTCACACCTTATTGTAACCTGATAGAGAAGTGATTAGGTTAGGCAAAATTATTTGAAAAAATATGACTTTCAACCATCAGCAGATTCCTACAACTCAAATGACACTACAAGAGGTCAGCACCTGGTGACCACTTAACTAAAGAGTGTGCAGGCTTTTGTTCCAACCCAGCACTACAACACACCTGATTCAACTAATAAGTGACCTAGAGGAGCAGAGCAGACAGCTAGCTGGTGAGTTCTCCTTTCTAGTCCCCTTTAACAGCTACCAGCAAACAACATTAGTTACAATGATTAGAGATTTAACGTTTTTAGCAATGGTGAACAAAAAATGTTAAATCTGAGAACCATGACAACAAAATGCGCATTATAGCCAGCAACTTTGATCAAGCACAGATTGCAGTGAGTTAGCAAACTAGCAAGCTAGCTAGCTAACGTTAGCTAGATGTCACACCAACAAAGACAAAACAGGCACGTAACAACACTTTGCTACCGGTCTGTTATGTGACACATTACAAAATATGTAAGAAAATATGATCATTCATCTGCCTGCCTACCCAGCTAACGTTACTTTGAGTAAAGTGAAGTGTAAAAGTACTCACTGTTCCACTTGCTGCTGAAGATCAATTCATTCGGTTGGCTAACATTACAACAAAACAAACCCTTCTTCTTCTGTGGGTTTTATGGCAGACTACAACCCCAAAAGGTGTATTGACGCCACCAACTGGACGGGTTAAAGACCAAAACACGGTAAAAAGAAAATCCATATGTGATAGGGAAACTAACTTAATCCACCCAGATAAAAATAGTACATTGACAAAAACCAAAAGGAAACTCCCACTTCTTCCTTCTTTCAAATCTCCATATCTCCCTTAGGGCCTGAGAGGGTGGTACAGCTTGTGCCAATATTCCATGTAACTCCTCCGCTGAGAAACCGCTCTGCCGCATCCACAATGACATCTATCTTCCTGGACCTTTTCTCCACCTTGGCAGTGCCATTAATCACCATAGCTATAAAGGCCACAAAGTCCACCTTCTTAACCTTTAAAATGTCAGGGTCCTGCTGGTGAAAGGCAACCCCTGCAGCGAAGGCCTATCCACCACCATGGGCTCTTAAGGAGCACCATTCAAACCCTCAACCCTTTTAACAGCTGCTGCATATGAAATGATCTGGACTGCCCTGACTTTGGCAACCTCATTCTTTCCCCCTTGTCGGGCAATCGAAAGATGTAGCTTCATGGTTTCCACCACAATTGCAACATGTCACATTTTCCTCACTTTTAAAACACATGATATTATCTTTTCCACAACTTGGACATCTTGGCTTCTCCCTTCTGCAAACACTTGAAACATGACCAAAAGCTTTACAATGATCACACTGCATTGGTCTTCGGATAAATGCTTTGACTCTGTAGTTTATATACCCCAACTGCACTTGGGTAGGGAGAGACTCCATATCAAAAAACTAAAGAACAGAGACTCTAAACTTTTTCAACATTCACCACCCGATTCATCCGACGTGCATCAATCACACCATCAACTTCCCACGAGACGACAGATATAACCCCCTTAAGGAGTGCCCTGTTCGGAAGAGACACACACGACACGTCAAACGTTTCAAATCGTTCCTTCTAGCACAAAAAAATCTAAACAAGCACGCCTCTCGTGATCCTCACAGCTTTCACTTTACCCAGCACTCTCTCCACCAGTTTGGATATCTCAAATGGTTTCTTCAAGATTGGTACTCTGCTCAGCTGCTCCTTATTAACAAACCGTACTCCTACTAGATAAGAAGGGTCATTCTCATCACTGTACCCTACTTTGCTCCGTTTCCATTCTTTTGGACAATACTCCAATTCTCCTTGACTACCGCCAGTGGATTCAGAATTCACTTCATCGTCCGCTTCCACCATCTTTTTCCAGCCTCCAAACAAACCCTTCGTCGTGGTGTGTGCATTTGATTTGTTTTGCTGGTAGGATAGACCGGCACTTTCAGATCAATGTCATTGAACGAATGTGAACTGCACTTACCCAGTTGATGGTCCCAGAATGGCCCGGGCGTAAATCGCGTGCACCCTAAGATAACGTAGTAGGCGTAACCGTCTAGCAAAATACACTGTGATTGGCTGATACAAACCCCTGAGTGAAGGTTATGGAGATTTTTCAGATTTCTAATTTCAGTATTACTGCACTGTCGAAGCTAGAAGCACAAGCATTTTGCTAAACCAGCAATAACATCTGCTAAACACGTGTATGTGACAAATAAAATGTGATTTGATTTGACTATTAGCTACGTTTGACAGTTTATGTAAATGTAATCATTTAAGTTAGTTGATAGAGCATTTAAATTAGTTGATATAAGTATTTTTTGGCAATGCAAGTGTGACCGGTTAGGAACCATAGTTAGTTTTGGTCAGTGTTTCCTGTGGAACCACAATTAGTGCGAAACATGTAAAACGTATAAAACCGCCCCTTCTTAAATCCTATCTGCAGATGAGAGCGTTGTCTTGAAGTTGATGGCTGGTCTGTGCTGCTTCGGGGACCAGCTGTTTGAGAATAAATGTTTTGCGCATGGTCGATTGATTGAGGCTACTGAGAAGAGTCCATGTGTTTGGAGAGCCTTTGGGGGTACAAGCAGTTAATTGAAACTTGTGATGGGAAGCCAAGGCTTTCTGAAGCATTTGGGGCGTTCACAAAATTGGGCCGAAAAACTGTTCAATTACTTGGAGCTTTTAACACAATGCACATTAGTGACATCTGTTGGTCATAAATGAAAAGCAGCATTTTATATTTATTTACAGTATACGTTTTTTCCATACTATTCATCAAATCTCCATGGCGCAGCGGTTTAGAATTTCTGCACAAACTGTCAGAAACCGTCTCAGAGAAGCTCATCTGCGTGCTCGTCGTCCTCACCAGAGTCTTGACCTGACTGCAGTTCGGTGTCAACCATCTTCAGTGGGCAAATGCTCACCTTCGATGGCCACTGGAACGTTGGAGAAGTGTACCCTTCATGGATGAATCCCGGGTTTCAACTGTACCGGGCAGATGGCTGACAGCGTTTATGGCGTCGTGTGGGCGAGCGGTTTGCTGATGTCAAGGTTGTGAACAGAGTACTCCATGGTGGCGGTGGGGTTATGGTATGGGCAGGAATAAGCTACAGACAACAGACATAATTGCATTTTATCAATGGCAATTTGAATGCACAGAGATACCGTGACAAGACCCTGAGGCCCATTGTCGTGCCTTTCATCAGCTGCCATCACCAGCATGATAATGCACGGCCCCATGTCGCAAGGATCTGTACAAAATTCCTGGAAGCTGAAAATGTCTCAGTTCTTCCATGGCCTGCATACTTACCAGACATGTCACCAACTGAGCGTGTTTGGGATGCTCTGAATCGACATGTACAACAGTGTGTTCCAGTTCCCGCCAATATCCAGCAACTTCGCACAGCCATTTGTATTTATTAGGGATCCCCATTAGTTCCTGCCAAGGCAGCAGCTACTTTGCCTGGGGTCAAAACACATTAAGGCACTTACAGCGCATTCAGAAAGTATTCAGACCCCTTGACTTTTTCCACATTTTGTTACGTTACAGCCTTATTGTAAAATGGACTAAATTGTTTTTTTTCCTCATCAATCTACACACAATACCCCATAATGACAAAGCAAAAATAGGTTTTTAGATTTTTTTGCAAATTGATTAAAATGTAAAAGATGAAATATCACCCTTTACTCAGTACTTTGTTGAAGCACATTTGGCAGCGATTACAGCCTCAAGTCTTCTTGGGTATGACGCTACAAGCTTGGCACACCTGTATTTGGGGAGTTTCTCCCATTCTTCTCTGCAGATCCTCTCAAGCTCCGTCAGGTTGGATGGGGAGCGTCGCTACACAGCTATTTTCAGGTCTCTCCAGAGATGTTAGATTGGGTTCAAGTCTGGGCTCTGGCTGGGCCACTCAAGGACGTTCAGAGACTTGTCCCGAAGCCAGTCCTACATTGTCTTGGCTGTGTGCTTAGGGTCGTTGTCCTGTTGGAAGGTGAACCTTCGCCCCAGTCTGAGGTCCTGAGCGCTCTGGAGCAGATTTTCATCAAGGATCACTCTATACGTTGCTCCGTTCATCTTTCTCTCGATCCTGACTAGTCTCCCAGTCCCTGCCGCTGAAAAACATCCCCACAGCATGATGCTGCCACCACCATGCTTCACCGTAGGGATGGTGCCAGGTTTCCTCCAGACGTGACGCTTGGCATTCAGGCCAAAGAGTTCAATCATGGTTTCATCAGACCAGAGAATCTTGTTTCTCATGGTCTGAGAGTCCTTTAGGTGCCTTTTGGCAAACTCCAAGTGGGCTGTCATGTGCCTTTTACTGAGGAGTGGCTTCCCGTCTGGCCACTCTACCATAAAGGCCTGATTGGTGGATTGCTGCAGAGATGGTTGTCCTTCTGGAAGGTTCTACCATCTCCACAGATTAACTCTGGAGCTCTGTCAGAGTGACCATCGGGTTCTTGGTCACCTCCCTGACCAAGGCCCTTCTCCCCTGATTGCTCAATATAGCCGGGAGGCCAGCTCTAGGAAGAGTCTTGGTGGTTTCACATTTCTTCCATTTAAGAATGATGGAGGCCACTTTGTTCTTGGGGACCTTCAATGCTGTTTTTGGTACCTTTCCCCAGATCTGTGCCTCGACACAATCTTGTCTCGTAGCTCTACGGACAATTCCTTCG